GACCCAAAATGGCTGTAAGTGCCCCTAGCATCACATCCAAACTCTAGCCAATGGGAGGAAGGGGAAGAAAACATTTTATAGGAATTACATAAAACTTTTTTAACATCTAACTGCCTAAAATTTTAAAAATTTAAACATTTAAATTTAAAAAATTAAAAATTACATTTCTCTGCTTAGCTTTAGGGAAGGGTAGGGGAAGTTTTAGTTGGGTGACACTGTTCCCAGCTAAAAGTTGGGGTTCCTAGTACTAAGAAAGAATAGGCATTGGGGGGGGCACATCATTTCAAGGACCATTGTCTCCTCAAACTATGAAGATAATGTGTGGGCATGATCACCACACACACACATCCTGCATTTCACTATTCTCTGCAAAGAGAGTTAACTGTGTAGGATCCAGAAAGTTCTGAGTGTCTCCTTTCAGCTGCCAGAGAGAATGACATCGCCCAGGAGAACAGCGGTCCACCTCACACATGGGGTTAATGCACCAGGTAAATCCAAGCGAGTCTGAAGCAGGAGAATGAGACAATTCTTGCAGGAGTTTGCCTTTGGTGCTTTTGGGTTTTGCTTTGCTTCTGTGTGTGCTGGTACTGGAGCAATCTTTTTATCTCACTGGGCTTTTTTTTACCCAAGAGTGGTACTCTACCAACTGAGCCATACCTTTTGGCTTTTTGCTGGTTATTTGGAAGTAAGAGTCTTATGGATTTGCCCACTTGGGTTAACTCTGAACCACAGCCCCTGGATCTCAGCCTCTTGGGTAGCTAGGATTACAGGTATGAGCCATTGGTTCCTAGCAAACAAATCTTTCATTCTTTCCTTCTCTCTCCTCTCTCCATTTCTCCCTCTCTTCTCCCCACCCCTCCCCTGACTTCTCTCTCTCATCCTGTGGCTTGAACACACAGTCCAAGCACTGTTCCTGAGCTCTTTTTGCTCAAGGCTAGTGTTCTACCACTTGAGCCACAGCTCCCATTCTGACTTTTTGGGTGGTTAATTGGGGATAAGTGTCTTACAGACTTTCCTGCCCAGGCTGGCTCCAAATCACCTCCTGAGTATCTGCGACGACAGGTGTGAGCCACAGGTGCCAGCTTTCCACTGCAACTCCTGGACGGCTGTTATGTCTGCTCCTCATGTACACGTGCATTACCTTAGGTGTCTGCGAGGCTCTATTTGGCCAGATGCCACCTCTGCCTAGTATGAACATGCACCAGTGCTGGGCAGGGTTCCGGTGGACCAAATGAGGTGCCAGCCGCTGCTGTTGCTGCAGGGGACGGGGGGAGGGAGAGAATGCTTTGAATAAATTATGGCCATCATCTCTGCCATGCCTCAAATTTTCTTTGGAAAATTTAACTTAAAAAATTAAAGTTCTGATTGTTTTCATTTGCATTTATAGTTCTACCCTGGGAGGCTGGAGGAGGGTGGGGAGAGTGAGCCCGGATGAGGCCTTGCTGGCATTGTGGCTGGGGAAATTCCCTCCTTTTCTGAACGGGAGGCAGCTGGCCTCAGGGATCTGAAGAGCCTGCCCCCAGGGATTCTCCTTCAGTCTGGGGTTGTTGCTTTCTTTGGGGGGTCACCCTGTCTGGCCTTCACTGGGGCCTGATTCTGTCCAGCAAGGCTGAAGTGGTCGGCCTGTGCTGTGGGTAGGGCCCCCACAGGGCCAGACCTTCGCTGCAGGGCCTCCAGGTGGAGGCAGGAGGCTGCCACAGTGCCAACTCAGCAAGGAACGCGAGATGGGTTTTACTGAGCCATTGCCAGACCGAGTCCTTTATTTTATGTATTCTTGTCCAGTGACCTTGCGTCTCCATTTTGGAAAGGTATGGATGACTAATTGGGGGCTGGGTATCTTTTGCTGCCTGTCAGTGAAAGAACATTTCATAGTTTCATCCAGGGCCGGGGCAAGCGCTCCTTCAGCCTAACCAAGCCTGGCCAGGGTCCATGAGTGGTGGTGGATGCCTCCGATGTCAGCACTTAGGAGACTGAGTGAGGAAGGATCGTGCGTTTGAGGCCGAAGTGGGTTATATAGTCACGGGTCCCTGAATACAGCCTGGCAAAGCTGAACCGCACCAGGAGCTTACCTTGTAGCAGCGCCTGCAGCCGAGGAGGAACCAGCACTGCTCCGTGGGTCTGTTTCCACAGCATCAGGTGTTGGTAAGAACATGCCTTGGAGAAAACATCACTTTAGGCTTCTTCCTTTTACAGGTCTGAGGAGAAAAAAGGATTCCTCCCTCCCTCCCTTTCTTCCTCACCCCCTCCTTTCTTTCATCTTTCTTTCTTGCAGAGTCAAAGCAGCTTAGTTTCTTATCTGAGCCTCCCTGGCACACAGGTGCACATACCCAAGTTCCCACCACTCACCATCCTGCCAAGAAGAGTCCCTCAGCGCCAACAGCTTCGAAAGATACCCAAAGGCTGGGCAGTGGAGGTTCAGCCTACAATACTCGCTACTCAGGAGGCTGAGATCTAGAGAACGAAGGTTCTAGACCAACCTGGACAGAAAAATCTCGGAAATTCTCCTTCAAAACAATCAGCAAAAAGCTGGGCTGGAGGCATGGCTTAAATGGTAGAACACCAGATGAATTAACAAAGCTGAACAAGTGAGAGGCCCACAGTTAGGGTGCTAAGAGAGTCAAAGATGTTATACAAAACCACAGACAAAGCTGGGTGTCAGTGGCTCATGCATGTAATCCTAGCTACTCAGGAGGATGAGATCTGAGTATCATGGTTCAAAGCCAGCCTAGGCAAGAAAGTCTGTGAGACTCTTTATCTCCAATAAACCACTCAGAAAACCGGAAGTAGCACTGTGGCTCAAAGTGGTAGAGCGCTTGCCTTGAGCTGAAGAGCTCAGGGACTGCACCCAGACCCAGAGTTCAAGCCCCACAACCAACAAAACAACAACAAAACCACAGACAAGAACCCTTGTCTCTCCTCCACACACATAAATGCTTGGGTATCCCCTGCACAAGGTAATCCTTCTTTGAACTAAAGACAATCAGGAGAAGTTTCTTTCATCTGTGTTGACAGATCATCTCCTCTCTGGGTGAGGAACTTCCCAAGCCACTGCCCCTTCCTTTGGCCCTAGGACACCACACATGGAGCTCCCTAGACCCCAGGACTGGGATCTTTCTGAGGTCACCAGTCTGCCTCTTTTTTCTTTTTCCTTCAGTCTTGGGGCTTGAACTCAGGGCCTAGACGTTGTTCCTGAGCTTTTCTTCTCAGTATTAGCACTCTTAACACTTTGAGCCACAGGATCACCTCTGGTTTTCTGGTGGTTAATTGGAGATGAGTCTCATGGATTTTTCTGCCTGGGTTGGCTTTGAACTATGATCCTCACATTTCAGCCTCTTGAGTAGCTAGATTGTATCTTTCTTTTGCCTGGGGTTTGACATCTGTGGCCATCCTCGCCCTCCCCCTAGACGCCTGTCCTGGTAGCTCAGACCTTCCCAAGCCGGGACTCCACTAGGCCCTGGAGCGGGCAGTTTCTGGTACACATCTGCGCAAAGACGCTCTATGCTCTAGTCCCGTCCCGTAACAGAGGTTGTGGTTCCATCTTTATATTTAGTGCTGACAGACTTGAGATGCTTCTAATCACCCCACATTTGGGCAAGGCAGGTAAGTATATGCAAATCTGTCCTGCCTCAGGGCCTGAGGGAGCTCAAACCAGGGCAGCCCTGATGCCAGCAAGGAAGTTCTAACTTGGCTCCAATCTCATTCAACACCTGAGCCGTTTTCGGATCTCCCGTGTGGAAATGCATCTTCACTGCACCAGGAGACTGGGTTAAGTGCCCTCCCACCGTGTCATCATGGGGCATTGTAAATCAGGTTATTAAAGAACTTTATTTTATCCTGGTTACAAAAGTTAAGAGTCACTGTAACAGTTCTAATGGTACATAAATACAGAAGTGCCTATTCGCCCCAGGTGGTTCTTTCAGGTATTTTTCTAGGCACAGGTCACATAAACTGAGCCAGGATCTTTGCATACGCTTGTTCTTTGGAGGGGTGCTGGTCCTGGGGCTTGAGGTAAGGGTCTTGGCACTGTCCTTGAGCTTCTTTTGCTCAAGAATAGCACTTGAGTCACAGGTCTTGTTTTTTTTTTTTTTTTTGGCAGTTTACTGGAGATAATTGTCTTAGGGGCTCTTATTTGAGATTCTCAGATCTCAGCCTGGAGTGGCTAGGATTACAGCATGAGTCGCCAGCGCCCTCTTCTTGTAGAGCCAGTCACATTAGATGAGGGCCATACTACCATGGCCTCATTTAACTTCAATTACTTCCTAAAGTCAGACCTCCAAATAGGATAGCTGGATTAAATTTCTACCCTCCTCCTACTAGGCAATGGAGATTTACGTTCCAACATCAGTTTTGGTGGGAGATATTGAAGCCATAGCAACATCTATGAATTCAAGTATTTAAAAACTCCCTCTGTAGACATACCAGCTTATTTTATGATATGGGTAGAATTTTAATGCTACACTGAACATCCTCAATTCTACCTCAGTCCTAATCAGCACAGAAAGCCAACAGCTGTAGATCATACCCATAATCCTAGCTACTCAGAAGGTTGAGATCTAAGGAACGCCTGCATGACTCTTATCTTCAATTAACTACCAAAACCCTGGCAGTGGAGATTAGCTCAACTGGTAGAACACCAGCCAAAAGCCTAAGTGACAGAGCCTATGCACCCCAGTACCTGTGCACGCACACACACGCACACACACACAGGAAAGCATGGAAAGATGGTTTATACATAAGTAGCACCAGGGGACCATTATATTAAATGTTACATGAAAGTCAGGTGCTGGTGGCTCATCATAGAAAGCAAAGAGCTACTTCTAGCTTCTCAGGAGATTGAGATCTGAAAATCTCAGTTCAAAGCCAGCCTGGATAGGCAAGTCCATGAGACATCTCCAATAAAACTGACCCCCCCCCCCCAAAAAAAAAAAAAAAAGCTGGAAGTAGAGCTCTGGCTCAACTAGTAGAACACTAGCCTTGAGGAAAAAAAAAAAAAAAAGCTCAGGGACAACACCCAGGCTTTGAGTTCAAGCCTTAGGGTCAGCACAAAACAACAACAACAATACAACCAACACAACTGAATGCAGGCAAAGGTTAGTCCAGTCTCTGAAGAACAGATGCGCCAGGGCCTCTGCTGGAAGTTCCCGTGTAATGGGAGGCTTGTGAGCTGGATCTGCGCATGAGTAACTTGTCCTGATTTTTGTCTCAAGGAGTCTTGTGGCTCCTTGTCCCCAGTAACTGGTGGTAACGGAGGCCAGGGCACGGAGCGGCATGCTGGAGCGGCTGATGAGGTTGCCTTCGGAGCTGGGACACAAGAGCCGGAGAACGTGCTGGGAATTCACCTGCTAGTGACCTTTCGCTTCATATTCATTTTTGAAGGGCAGAACAAAAGTCTTTTCTGAAAGAAGGAGTTGATAAGGGGAGGTTATTCTGGAAGCACCTTTTCCCAGCTTGCCCTTCCCAATAAATGTCTATATCTAGATACCAAGCAGGCTGTCAAGTGTGTGCAATGTGAAAGCAAAGCCTAGCTGTCCCCCAATTCATTCTTTTGGATTTTGCTAGATGATAAAATAATTTTCTTCCCTTGTAACTTAAATCAAGCTTTTCTTTCTCCCATCCTCTCCCTATGATTTTTTTTCTTCCATTTCCTCTTTAGCTAAAACCCTTATAACTGAATCCCCGGGATGATGAGCTGAGTTATTATGAGCCCGAATCACAAAGATGAGAGCCCTCTGCAGGTATCAGGGGTGGGAAGAGTACGCCAGAGAGCAGAGAGAGGCGGCCACAGACGCTGCTGTGGGAACACTTCCCACACGAGCGGGGCTGTCACCGGGGGTCTTCTGGGTAGGGGATGTACCAGGCAAACTTCTGCAATCTCTCGAAAGCACCAGGCAAAGTTCTGAACTCTCTCCTGATCTCAAAACCCTTTTGCCTGCACTCAGAATTCGTCCCCTGGCTGATCTGCAGGGGAGGGCTTCAGCAGCAGCGCCAATCTGCATTCTGCTCTGAACATGGAGCAGTTTCTAACTCATGCTGTCCAAGCATAATTGGGAATGCCTTCACATTTCTGCCACAGAAATTCTACTCATCCTTCTGGGGCTTGAACCCATCCTGGATCAGCCCCTGGTTCGTGTAATACCTCCATCAGGCGCCGCAAGGTCTGTCCCCTGCAGCGCACGCTCTTCTTCCAGTCTTTTGACTTTTCTCTCTTCCCTTCAATTACAAACTCGTCGGGTGTGAACCAGGTTCCCTCCTCGTTCTGAATGCACTTCTCTGAAGAACCTGTGAGAGAACACAGGCCGTCCAGGACCCACTTCAACCCTCGGACCTCACCCCTCACCCCCGGGCTCCTGACTGTGCCTCCCACTTCCCCAGGCCAAGGGGGACGCCTGTAATGCTTGGCCAGCAGCGTGTGTCTTCTGCTCTCTTCAGGCAGTAAGGACATGGTGACCAGTATTGTAGGGTCCACAGATAACTTCCTGGGGGGCAGGAGAGGTCCCTTTCCAGGACGTGGAAAGGTTCGGAAATTCTCCATCAGGAAGAATTTTTTTCAGCAGTCTGCCCAGCAGGGTTTCTTTCCTGATCAGTTACACACAGGACACTCTCTCCCCTGCCAGCCCTTCCTCCTTCCTGGGATTAAAGGAGCAGGTGAGCAAGCAACACACCTTGCTGCATCTTCTCCTTATATAAAACCCCCTTGGCATCACCACAGGTCACAGGCAGCGTAGGTGAGAGAAAATCTACAGCATCATCTTCTGGTTTTTCTAAAAGTAGAAGAGATTGGTTGGTTACCCAGCCTTCGTTCACTGTCTCCAGAGGGCTGACTCACAGGAACTGCAATAAAAATTGTAACATAAGCTGTGCACCGGTGGTTCACACCTATAATCCTAGCTACTCAGGAGGCTGAGATCTGAGGATCACAGTTCAAAGCCAGCCTGGGCAGGAAAGTTCATGAGACTCTTATCTCCAATAAACCACCAGAAAAATGGAAGTGGCGTTGTAGCTCAAGTGGTATAGCACTAGCCTTGAGCTAAAGAGCTGAGGGACAGTGCCCAGGCCCAGAGTTCAAGACCCACAACTGACCAAAAAAAAAAAAAAATTCGTAACACACAAAAATAGAAATGAGCTGGGCGCCGGTGGCTCACGCCTATAATCTTAGCTACTCAGGAGGCTGAGATCTGAGGATCGAGATTCAAAGCCAGCCTGGGCAGGAAAAGCTGTGAGACTCTTATCGCCAATAAAGCACCAGAAAACCAGAAGTGGCACTGTGGCTCAAGTATTAAAGTGTTAGCCTTGAGCTGAAGAGCTGAGGGACAGTTCTCAGGCCCAGAGTTCAAGCCCCATGACTGACCAAAATAAATAAATAAATAAATAAATAAATTGAAATGCATCAGAGTCTCTGGTTAGTACAGGAAGCCTTCCATGTTGACAGTCAGATTAGTGATGACCAGACTAGTCTCCAGTGAATGACCACCATGAGCCCGTCATCAGACACAAGGCTTTGAGAGAACACACGGGGTTTTCTGGCCAGTGTGCTTCCATTTTTTTGGTCAGTAGTGGGGCTTGAACTCTGAGCCTGGGTGCTGTCCCTCAACTCTTCAGCTCAAGGCTAGCACTTGAGCCACTCCACCACTTCCAGTTTTTCTGGTGGTTTATTGGCGTAAGAGTCTCATGAACTTTCCTGACCGGGCTGGCTTTGAACCGCTAGGATGACAGGCGTGAGCCACCAGTGTCCGGCTTGTGCTTCCATTTTTAAGCTCATGGGCCATCACTAACACTCTCTAGCCTTAGATACCAGCCTGCTCATCTTCTGTGCATGGACAAGATGACTACCCCAAATATTTCCTTATGCTCAAGTAGCCAGAGAAAGGTCTCTGTTCATAATCTTATTTCCTAGCCAGGCACCGGTGTAATTTTAGCTACTCAGGAGGCTAAGCTCTGAGGATCATGGCTCAAAGCCAGCCCAGGCAGGAAAGGCTATGACACTCCTCTCCAACTAACCAGAGAAAAAGCCAGAAGTGGAGCTGTGGCTCAAGTGAGCACTAGCCTTGAGTGAAAAAGCTGAGGGACAATGTCCAGGCCCTGAATTCAAACCCTAATACTGATGTGTGTGTGTGTATGTGTGCGCACACACACATACACACATAAAAATCTCATTTCTTGGCTCAAAGCAAGACTTGTGTCAGCACTGAGAGATGGTGTCAGTCTTCATTGTTTGCTGTCTCATTTCATTTTGTCATTTGTTTCTTCTTTGAATAAAAGAAAACTCTGGAAAGTTCTAGATTTGCAAATTACTCATGGAGAGATGTGGCAGCTCAGAGCAGGGAATCTGTGGTTCAGGTTTAAGAGAAGCAGATCGAAGGGTATAAGGGAGATATGAGCATCCCCCCTCCAGCCTCAGTGTGGTGAATTCACCGTCCAGGTGCTGGGTCTTGGGTGACAGAATGAACTTTCTAGGTCTTTAGTAATGATACAGAAACCATCATACTCACAAGGAGTCACGGGGGACATCCAGTCCAACACTTTCTCTTACCTCAAGCACTTAATAAAAGACTCAAAGGGAAAACGGGTGGCTAACAGAATAGCATCAGGAAGTGGAGCTGTGGCTTTAGCCTTGAGCAAAAAAGCTCAGGGATAGTGGCCATGCCTTGAGTTCAAATCCCAGGATCGCACACACAGACACAAAAAGAATAGCATCAATGTGGAATAGCCATTAATTAATTACTTTGGAAAGATACGAAGAGAGGTGGGGCCCCTGGGAAATGAGGGCATGGCACCCCTCAAGAGAACGCCAAAGGGGGCCCAGCCCAGGAGGAGCAGGGGCTGACCACAGGTGAGGCACAGAGTGCGGAGCGGAGAACCTTGTCCCAGTCTGCCAGCCAGCTCTCTCTGTGGGTCTCCACTGCGCATGAATCCCCTGGGTGAGGGGCGGGGAGGCGGGGTCTGGGAGCCAGAGCTGGTGGCTTTGTGATCCTGGCTTATCTAAGTGTGGGGTGCTGTTATCCAATCTGAACTAGAGACTTGCTGCTGCTGGTTCTCACCACTGAGGGGGAGGAGCTTCAGGCACGCTTGAGCCACTGGGAGCTCGGCAGGGGATAAGCATGACCGTGGGGACTTCCCACAGCTCTCCATGTCCACAGAGATGTCTTTCCTAACGCCCGCCCTGTGATACATACAGAGCTGAAGGACACAGAGGTCCTGGATGTGCTTGCACGCAGGTACAGGGGCGTGAGTGTTTGTGAGCAGCCCACGTGCAGAGGGGGCCCACTCCCTCCCACCCCTGCTGTAGGGAGGGCACCAGGGGTGGTGGCCAGCAGGCCTGAGGCCTTCCAAACCCACCCTGTTGCTAAATGCAGCTTTCTGGTTTGTTCCCAGCCACGCTGAGTCTGGCCCACCAGCTCTCCAGCACCAGCCGCGCCATTTCCAAAGGGAAACTACAGGTGTGATTGATTCTGGCCACATTAGTTAAGTGTGAACAAACACCGAGGGGCTGTAGGTAAGCAATGGACGAGGAAGGATTTCAAGGAATAAAATGCACTGTGGAGGAAGGGGAGAGAAAAACCTGATGCAGACCACAAGTGGCAGAGGGGAAAAAACCTAATAAGCAAGCTCAAGAGTAATTCCCAGAATGCTTACTGTGCAAAGGGGGAAGAGCACAAGGCAAAGATTATGGAAGAGGAGGGGGCAGCCTGGGGAAGGCCTGGCAGGGGGTGACGGCTCAGGCACACATCCCAGCTGAATTTGAAGTGCCGAGAGGCCAGAGGAGGGAGGGAGGCAGAGCCGATGCTGAGGGACACAGGGGACAACCATCAGAGCGCAGCAGTTTCCTGAAAGACTCGGAAATGTCCGGATGTGTGTGAGGAAGAGACCTGAGCAGGAAGGAAGGGAAAGCACGCCGTGCCATCTGACCTTGTCATGAGAAACCCAGAGGGACCCTTATGAAGCAAAAATGGCTTCCCTTGCTAAGGAAGGCTAGCCAGCAAGGACTGACAGAAAGGACTGCTACAAATACTATACCTCCGCGCCACAGAAAGTTATGCCACAAACCCTGGAAATAAAGGAATGAACAGCCTTACAAGGATTACATAGAAAGGGTTTTTGTGGGGTTTGTTTTTTTGCCAGAACTGGAGCTTCACCTGGTGCTCGGCTAGAAAGGAGAATGTACATAAAGCAGTGTTTCCCGCTGCTGGGCATGTTTGGCAATGGATGGAAAGCTTTGGCTTGTCAGGAATGGGGTGCAGACTCTTCAAGTATTTAGTGGGCAGAAGCCAGCAAAGCTAGCACCCACCAGCCTCCATGATGAATTACCTGGGCCATCTACTTTATAACCGCTTTCCTGCTTTTTAATCCCTAAATTGGTGGAGAAACAAACCCATACCCCTAGAAGGCATCATCAGTGGGTCATGTGAGGACCAGGTGAACTCCCCCCTGACAACACAGTGCTCCTCCCAACAGCCACTCCCACCAGTGGATCCTGGCTGGGTCACCTGGCTCCTCCTATTGAGTTTACCCATCTACCTGCCCTGCACGGGAGAGGCCCTCCACACCAGCCATCCAAGGGCAGATTGCACCGTCAGTCTTACCCTCTGCTGTGGCCTTCTGTGCACAGTCCATCTTTGAGTCCTCGGCTGAGTTGGAGTTGTCCTTCCTCTGAGTTTCCTGATCCACCACTTGGGCTTTCTCCTGGATTCCATGCCCAGATGAAGCTGCCTCTGGGCCAAAAGTGGCTCGTGAATAGTTTAAATCAGGGCCTCAGTGAGCCTCTCCTTCCCCAAACTAGCACCCTCCTTCCTGTTTCCCGTCCCACCCTCCCTGAGCATTCTGTACCAAAACTCTCCATTTATTTCCCTTACTCCAGTATCTTCCTTACTCCAGTAGTTCCTGAGCTTTTTTGCTCAAAGCTGGTACTCTACCACTTGAGACACAACTCCACTTCTGGCTTTTTGCTGATTAATTGAAGATAAGAGTCTCACAGACTTTTGAGCAAGCTTCAAGCCTCAGTTCTCAGCGTTCAGCTTCTTCAGTAGCTAACACTACAGGGGTGAGCCACCAGTACCCTGATTTTGTCTTCGTGTGCACGTGCACACGTGAGAAAGGAAAGTTCACATTTGGAAAGGAATATAATTTCAGTAGACTGAAAATGGATTATATCTCAAGGGTGAGAATGATCCTTTTTACCTTTCTCAAGTGGCTCAGTGGTAGACTCCCAGTCCTAGCACTCTACTTTGAGTCACAGCGTCACTTCCAGTTTTCTGGTGGTTAATTTGAGACTTTCCTGCCCAGGCTGGCTTCGAACTACAATCCCCACATCTCAGCCTCCTGACTAGCTAGGATTATAGGCATGAATCACCTAGTGCCTGGCATGTTTTTGTTTTTGCTTTTTCAAATGTCAGCAGTATATATTTTCCAAGTAAATGGTGGTATCACATTGTTCCCTGGGCACAGACTACCTAGACTGGCAAGTCACTGCCCAGCTGAGGTCATTTGAGAGGCTTCTGGTTTGGAATCCGCTTGTGGATTTCACTTTCCTTTGTCCTAACCATGTCATCCAAATCTCAGGATTGTCTGATGGTCCACCAGCCTAACTCCATGTCTTCCCTATGGTAAGAGAAAAGCTCCTGCATGTAATCCTAGTTATTCAGGAGTCTGAGGATCGAAGTTTAAAACTAGCCTCAGCAAAAAAGCCCATGAAACTCTGATCTCTAATTACCAGCAAAAGCTGGATGCGGAGCTGTGGCTCAAGTGGCACAGTGCCAGACTTAAGTGAGAAAGCCAAGTGAGGGCAAGGGCCCCACGCTGAAGCGCCAGTACCATGAGAGAGAGAGGAAGAGGGGGGGGAGGAGGGAGAGAGAGCCAGGGTGCAGCCTACCCTTTGGGAGCTGGTTTAGAGGACAGGGCTGGGGCAGTCAGGCTGGGGCGAACTGGGGGTCTGTGTGGCTGAGAGGAAGCCATGCTGGTTGGTTAAGTACAGACACCAACAGAGCAATGACTTCTCTGATTCTCTTTCTTACCTCTTGGAAGCCTTTTTTTCTGTCTTCTTCTTGAAGTTGACCAGATACATTTTTTCTTCTTCTTCTTCTTTTCTGAAAAAAAAAAAAAAAAAAAAAAAAGTATTATCTTATGGCTGCAAATACTGACCCACCAGCCAAAGATATCAATACTTTTTGTTTGTTTGATTTTTCCTTGAGACAAGTTTCACTATGCAGCCCAGGCTGATCTCAAACTCGCAACTCTTCTGTCTCTGCCTCCCAAGTGCTGGGATTACAGGCTGCTCCACTATACCCAGCTAGCAATGCTAAGGGATTTTTTTTTTTTATGCTTTCTATCACTTTTGAGGAGGCAAGAAATCCATGCAAGCTATGTGAAAAAAGGACTCTATTTGGCATGGAAATGAAAGAGTTAAAAATATAATAGAGAGATGCTAAATATCTAGCATTTAAAATATGTTACTCAGGGAGGTGATACTGGTCAAGATGCATTGTTAAATGGTACCTCCTTTGTACAACTCCTTTAAAAAATAAAATAGGTCACTTTCATTTTAATCAGTGTTTTCAAGACTACAAGAAATGACAAAAAAATTTAAGCCATGGACATTAAAAGGATTTCTCAGCTGAAATTCAAAGCCAGATATTATGCAAGAAGAAGATAAATTTGACTGCTTAAAATATTTAGATGACCTCATCTGAAGAAACACTCGATTCATAGCTGGACACAGTCTCAGCAATAGTGCTAAGACCGCCAGGGGTACAGAGCTTGGTTCTTGAGGAGGTGTGAGAAGTATTTTTATATAACTATATATGTGTAAAACATAAAAATTATATATACACGCAGAATATATACATTTATGTAACATAAAAATTATATGCACAGATATATAAAATAGAGAGTATATATATGACATAGTATACATACATATATATAATATATATATATGAGAGTGTACATATATAACATACTGACGTTAAACCATTGTGAGGAGGGTTGTTGACTGGGAAATAAAAACTAAAAGTGATCCATAGGGCAGCGATGATTGACAACAAAAGTTTGACCAATACTGATTTCAAGTACAACAGACCTGATTTGGGTTTCTGATGACTGAGCTCTGAGGTCTGCAGTTCCAAGTCTTTACCATGGGTAGTTCTTGGTGGGGTGCTGGGTATCTTCTGGGGTGTCGTCCCTTCATTCATTTCTGAGGTCTCATGGCTGATCTCTGAGAAAAAAACAAAAAAAACAATGGTGCTGGGTGCTAGTAGCTCACACCTGTAATCCTAGTTACTCAGGAGGCTGAGATCAGAGGATCTCAAGGCCAGCCTGGCAGGAAAGTCTGTGAAACTTTTCTTTCTAGTTAATCACTAAAAAGGCCAGAAGTGGAGTTGTAGATCAAGCGGAGTTGTGTATCAAGGAGCAGAGCACTAGACTTGAGCAAAAAAACTCCGTAACACCCAGGCTGAGTTCTTTAAGCCCTGGAACTTGCACACACACACCTGTGCAAAGGCGCGCGTGCACATGCGCACACACACACACACACACACCCCACACACACGGACTATTTGTCCTTTCTGATGGGAAGTTCCAGGGGGAATCTCCCCTATAACCTAGAAGACTACACTCCAGAGTAGATGTCTGGAGGCTCCTTACACACACCAGCCAGACTTGCATCTCCTGTTGCTGTACCTGTCTGCCACTGGGGTGGGGGGAGCTGAGCAAGGCTGGTCAGCAGGGCTCTCAGAGATCCCCACCATCTGCAGGAAGCCATCGGGGCTCTGTGAGCCTCTGGGGTAGGCTCTGACACCCTTCCAGGATTTGCTTTTCTATTATTTCAGCCTTTGCAAGAGACTGACCCAGAGAGCACTGCAGGTAAAACTGCTGCTGCATACTGCACAGTGGGGTCTCCAACCTCCAGCTGGAGTCACTGTATCCTTCACTGCTACTTCCTCCCCTCAAAAATTCAGGTTCATAGCTGGGCGCCGGTGGCCTGTAATCCTAGCTACTCAGGAGGCTGAGATCTGAGGATCACGGTTCAAAGCCAGCCCAGTCAGGAAAGTCCGTAAGTCTCTTATCTCCAATAAACCACCAGAAACCCAGAAGTGGCTCTGTGGCTCAAGTGGTAGAGTGATCATCTTGGGCTGAATTGCTGAGGGACGGCCGGCGCCCAGGCCCAAAGCCCTGAGTTCAAGCCCCACAACCAACAAAGGAAAAAAAAATTCAGGTTCATGTAAGAGTGTCCTTGACACATCAGCAGTGGACAGAACATTGAAGTGTTTCTTTCTCAAGGAAAATCCTTTTGTAATTGAGTTACAAGCTTAATGAATATTTCAAATGAGCCAATATTTTCCAAATGTATATGATTTTATCAAATTTCGCATGATGGCACAATATATTCTATTGTGACTTTATAAAATTCTACTGGCATAGTTTCAGAGTCTATTATAACTAATCATTAAGAAACTACCACTGGGGCTGGGAATGTAGCTTAGTGGTAGAGTGCTTGCCTTGCATGCATGAAGCCCTGGGTTCGATTCCTCAGTACCACATAAACAGAAAAGGCCAGAAGTGGCACTGTGGCTCAAGCTGGCCTTGAGCAAAAGATGCTCGGGTATAATGCCCACACCAAGTTCAATCCCCATGGCAAAAAAGAAAGAAAGGAAACTACCACTTTTGCCAGGTGCTAGTGGCTTAATCCTAGGTACTCAGGAGTCTGAGATCTGAACATTATGGTTTGAAGCTAGCCCAAGCCGACAAAACTGTGACTGTTATTTCTAACTAACCTGCAACGAAGTTGGCACTGGAAGCATGGCTCAAGTGGAAATGCTCCAGCGTGAAGGGAAATAGCCAATTGTGAGTAGGAGTTCAAGTCCCAGTTAACACTGGCGTACCAAAAAAAAAAAAAACCAACAAAAAAATCCACCACTTTTTTGAGTTCTGTTTTTGTGGGACTTGAATTCAGGAACTCTGCACTGTCCCTGAGCTTTTTTGCTTAAGGTAGGAACTCTGCACTGTCCCTGAGCTTTTTTGCTTAAGGTAAGTGCTCTAACACTGAGCCATAGCTCCACTTCCAGCTTTTTGGTGCTTAACTGGAGATCAGAGACTCACAGATTTTCCTGCCTGGCCTGGCTTTGAACCATAATCCTCAGATTTCACCCTCCTGAGTAGCTAGGATTATAGGCATAAAGCACTGGCATCTGGCTACTTGTTGAGTTTTGATGTAGTGTTAAAGATAAATACTCAGTCATCCCCAAAGACTGTTCAAAAATACTCTACACCCTTTCAATTTCATTTCAGTGTGCGGCTGGATTTTCTTCTTATTCCTCAACCAAAGCTACAGATCACAACTGATTGAGTGCAGAAACAACTGTGAGACTCTTAGCTGTCTTTCATAAAGCTAGACATAACTGAGATTTGCAAAATTATGAAATCTGTTTTTCAGAGAATATATTTTTCACAAAAACTTATTTATGTTACCAGATCATTTGTTTATTATGGTTACTTTAAAATAAACAAACATTTAAAGATTATTTAAATTTCTAATATGGTAGAAACCAAAATGTTTTGGGGTTTTCAGTAATTTTTGTTGTTGCTGTTGGACCTGGGGCTTGAACTCAGAGCCTAGCTGCTATCTTTGAGTTTTTTTGCTCAAGGCTAGCATTCTACCACTTTGAGCTACAGTTCTTCTGGTTTTCTGGTGGTTAATTGGAGATGAATCTTAAACTTTCTTGCCTGGGATGGCTTCAAACCACAATCCTCAGATCCCAGTCTCCTGTGTAGCTAGGATTACAGGGATAAGCCACTGGCACCAGGCACTTCAGTCATTTAAGACTGTTAAGAAGTCCTGAGACCTAAAATGTTGAGAGTGATGTCCTACATCACAGCTGAGATGAGCTGTCTCTGTGGACATATCTCTTTTAACAAAACTCCTCAGATCGTTGCCTTTTGTCCCTCTTGTCAGACTGTATCCTCCTCCTCCATACTTCTCTTTCCTTACTGTTTCTTTATTTCTTTCTTAATTTAATCAGTCATGGGGCCAGCCCCATGACTGATTAAATTAAGAAAGAAATAAAGAACTCAGGGCCTGGATGCTGTGCCCAAGCTTTTTGGCTCAAGGCTAGTGCTCTACCACTTTGAGCCGTAGCTCCACTTCTGGTTTTCTTGTGGTTAATTGGAGATACAGAGTCTCCCAGATTTCCTGCCCAGCTTGGCTTTGAACTGTGATCCTCAGATCCATATCTTCTAAGTAGCGAAAATGACAGGTGTGAACCACTAGCACCTAGCTCCTTCTTCTATTCTACTATTTACTGTATATCTAACACCTCCTGTTTCAGAAAAGACCTTTCACTACTGAGCCATCGGAATGGCAGATTCTACTGTAGCCTTACCTTCTGGGGTGGGTGTCTGGGCACAGTCAGTCTTTGCCTCTTGGACCCTTTCCAGCACATCCAAGTCCTGGGTTAAGTCATCTCTCATTTGGGTGCCCTGGTTTACTGCTTGGAGCTCCTCTTGGGTTCCTTGCTCAGGTGACACTGCTTCTAGACCAAGCAGAAATTTATGAATCCTTCAAATTGGGGTCCCCAGGAAATCTCTCCCTCCTTTCATTAGTGACTTCTCATGTCTAGCCTCTTCCCTTCCAGATCTCTGTACCCCTGTATCTCACTGTGCTCTTATGGTTTCTCTGTAATTACTTTTTCTCCCCCTTGTGTTATGCACATTTCTTTCTCCTCAGAAATGATCATTTCTTCTTCCTTCAGGTACCAACGGTTGAAATTAACCAGATAAATCTGGTTAAACCCAGAGCAAGCTGGGTTTATTTCCTGATTCCTGTTTGTGTGAACCCCTACTCTGTGAGGTGACCACATCAGAGCATACAGCTGCAGTCACGTGGTCTGCATGTGCAGAGGGCAGAGAGGAAGGACCTGACAAGCAGGGCATGTGTATGACACAGAAAAGATCCAAAAGTGGGGGACATGGCAAGGGACTGAAGTGAGAGGCAGACGCTGTAGTAAGGGAGATGGAGGGGTGCGACTAACACTGAAGGGGGTCTGGAATGCAGGCTGCAGAGGTGAGTCTCCATCACTGCAGAATGAAGGCAGCATGACTTCCATTGCCCTGGCCTTGGAAGCTGAGTCCCACAGACCGGCCGGCCACACATGGATGTTTCCCGAGACCTTTTCCAGATATCTAGACACCACTTCCGGTGGAAGTAGACGTGGCTAAACACTGACAGGACCCAGGCCTGGTGGGAAGTTCAAACATGGAAGGTAGGGGCAGGCTGGAGGGCAACCTAAAGAGCCTACAAGTTGCCTTTAATTGGCAGGGTTTTCTCCATTAAAAAAAAAAGAAGAACAGCTTCAGAGAAGCTCCTTTTTTTTTTTTTTTGCCAGTCCTAGAGTTTGAACTCTGGGCTTAGGTGCTGTCCCTGAGCTCCTGTTTAACAGCTCAAGGCTAGCTAGCACTCTACTGCTTGAGCCACAGTGCCACTACCAGCTTTTCTGTGATTAATTGGGGATAAGAACCTCACACTTTCCTACCCGGGCTGGCTTTGACCTGTGATCCTCAGATCTCAGCCTCCTGAGATGCTAGGATTGCAGGCGTGAGCCACTGGTGGCCTGGCATTAACCTTCTTTAAAATTAGAAGGTATGTGTATTTTCCACTATATTTTTATATATTTTTTTCTCTCTAAATTGTGCAACATGGTGAAAGATTTTTTGTAGTAATTTTAATAAAGACAAATAAATGTAAAATAATATTTCACTTAAGAAAACTGTAGGGTTAAGGAGAAAGAAAATGAAGGATTATTGTTTAACCGGTATAGCTTTCTTTCTTTCCTTCTTCCTTCTGTGTGTGCATGTGTGCACGCACGTGAATGCATGTGTGTGCATGTCAGTTCTGGGGCTTAAACTCAGGGTCCAGCTGCCGTCCTTGAGCTGTTTTGCTCAAGGCTAGCACTCTACTACTCTACCACAGCTCCACTTCTGGCTCTTTTTGGTAGTTAATTGGAGATGAGTGTCTCATGGACGTTCCTGCCAGGGCTGGCTTTGAACTGTGATCGCTGGAAATCAGCCTCCTGAGTAGCTAGGATTATTACAGCACTGCACCCGGTGAGTTTCCCTTTTTTAAGTTGCAGGTTCACTGCAACTGGCTTCTGTTTCTATTACCACAAAGTGTACTTTGGCTCTCCAGTTTTCCTGTGTGCCAAACCCAGGGCCCTCTTCTCTGCATATGATCTTAATCTCACAGTGTGGCCCACCAATCGCTCCTGCCTGCCTGACAGGCTCGCTCCTCCTGCAGCTCCTCCCTCACATTTCCGCCCCTCCATCCGCCTTGCTCAATTCTTTCACTGGCCTTCCCTTTCTCCTCCCCCCTTCTCTTTCCTTTGTGTGCCAGGACTGTGGCTTGAACTTAGGGCCTGGACACTGTCCCTTTGCTTTTTTGCTCAAGGCTGACACTCTACCACTTGAACAACAGCTCCACTTCTGACGCTTTGCTAGTTAGCTGGAGAGAAGAGTCCTATGGACTTTTCTGCTCAAGCTGGCTTCAGACTAAGATCTTTAGATTTCAGCTTCTGGAACAGCTGGGATTACAGTGGCTGGCTTTCATTGGAATTTCCGAGAATGTGGATGCTCTTTTCTTCTCATGCAGCTCTGGATACTTCCACTTTATTCTTGATTCTCCTATCTATACTCTCTGACAAGACTTTTCTGATTGCTTTACTGGGAGAAATGAAAATTGCCTATCTCCTAGCACTGCTGGCTTCTTGAGACATAGAAATGCATACCAGACAGGATACGTTTGCTTCACTTCTACAAACAATTTTCTTTCTATACCACAAGATGCGAATGTGTAACCAGTTAAACTGCCTCCTATTTCCTCAGCAGGCAGAGCGGCTCCCCTAGGGCTTGGCTTCCAGGCTAAGCCCCAGAGGACCAGGGAAAGTGGACCTGTTTCTTTCTAGGACCTCACACATGAACAGGAATGAAGTCCCAAACTTGGACCCATCTTTACTACTGTGCAATTTCCAAAAGGTTAGGGAAGAACCAGGATCTTTTCCATGTCTTCAGTTTTTCAATTCTCCCTTTGGTAGGGAGGAACAATGGCTGTTCATCTTACACGCATACATAGAAAATCATGGGGGAAAATCCATCTCTCTCACCTATGAAATGTCATCTGCCATTTGAACAGGAAGATTCTTATCTATCTCCAGTTCATTCTTTACACTGCAGGTGAGTGACGTGACAAGGGGCCATGCCGCTGCTTAGATCACTGCCCATTACATGTAAAGTTCAAGATGGCTCCCCCAAACTGGCCCCACTTCGTTGCCAGCCTCCAACCTCTAGCCTCCAGCCTCCTCTTGTTTCCTCACCTTACCTTTTGGGCAGCTTTTTTTCTGATGTCTCTTTGGAGTTGGCCAGATATTTCTTTTTCTTTTCCTTCCTAAGGGGGGGGGGGGGGGAGAAGAAGGAATAAGCAATCTTTTAGAGATACAAGCTTAGATCTTCCAATTGTGTATGTCAGAAATAAGCAGCTTCTACATTTGGCCTTTAAACTAGAGGTTATGGGTGACTTTAGATGATGCTGTTACACAAAAGTAATAGGAGAAGAAACAAGTAGTGAGGGGGGGGTGGGAAGAGAGAGAAAGGAAGGAAAGAAAGAGGGAGGGAAGAAGAGTAGGTAGATCCTGTTATCAGACGTATCAGCGGAGAATGAGCTGCACACAGTGCCTTGTGTGACAGAGTACGCATCAGCAGATGAAGGGGCTCATGGGCGCCTTGGAGGACTACCCAGAGAGGAGAGAGGCAGACGCAGCCAGGGCTATGAGAAGGGAGAGCATTCTCATCTGACAATAGGGAGCTATTATCACTACAGAAAGGGACTTATTATACAAGAATCATGAAGACAGCAGTGCCCTCTGCCCAGCTGTGTGGCGTTCTAACAAAGACTACTTTCAGATGCAGGGTATAGAAAACAGACAAGAAACTGTCTGGGTCCTAGAAAGAGACAAAGAGGCAAGGCAGGTAAAGAGGATGGCAATCAGTTACCCACGATCTTAGCTACTGAGACTATGGTCTCGAATTCACTATTCTCCTGCCTCAACCACCCAAGTGCACTGTCTTGCCTGGCTCCTAGAATCATATAAAGGAAAGGTGCAAGTGAACAGGGTTTGCAGAGCTGGGCATCACAGCTGCAGTGCCATGGTAAAGGCTTATAACACAGTATGACTGGAACTACAGAAAGCAGCATCTTCAGGAGGACAGAACTCCTTTCCTTTCTTGTTTGCAAGTGTGCTAGGTGCTTCCTGGAAGTGCTTGTAATTCTTCCCAGAAGGTGGTGTATATGAGGTGAAACATGGGAAGGGCTAGCTTACTTTTTGGTTTTGGTGGTCTTGGTGATTGAAATTAGGGTCTGTGTGTGTGTGTGTGCGCGCGCGTGCCAATCCTGGAGCCTGAACTCAAGGCCTGAGCACTGTCCCTGAGCTTGCTTGCTTATGTATGCATGTATGTATGTATGTATGTACGTACGTATGTATGTATGTATGTACGTCAGTCCTGGGTCTTGAACTCTGGGCCTGGGCACTGTCCCTGAGCTCTTCAGCTCAAGGCAAGCGCTCTACCACTTGAGCCACAGCACCACTACAGGCTTTTTCTGCTTATGTGGTGCTGAGGAATTGAATCCAGGCCCTCATGCATGCAAGGCAAGCACTCTACCACTGAACCACCTTCTCAGCCCCCCTGAGCTTATTTTACTTGATGTTGGCGCTCTATTACTTGAACCACAGACCCACGTCTGGCTTTTTTGGTAATTAGAGGATAAGAGTCTCACAGACTTTCCTGACTAGGTTGGCTTCAACTTGCGAACCTCAGATCTCAACCTCTTGAGTACTTAGGATAAGAGTGAGCCTCCATTACTTGGTTAAATTAGGTTTTTTTTTCACCTGCTACCATTTGAGCTACGACTCTAGTCCAGGAAGGTCCAAATCAATACAAGACAAGAACACAGGTTTCTAGGCAACACAGCCCAGGCACGCTAGGCTGGGTGTGCCTGGGTGCTGGAGTATCTTTCTTTCTTTCTTTTTTTTGGGGGTCTGGTCGTGGGGCCTGAACTCTGGGCCTGGGCACTGTCCCTCAGCTCTTCAGCTCAAGGCTAGCGCTCTACCACTTGAGCCAGAATGCCACTTCCAGCTTTTTTCTTTTTGCTTATGTGATGCTGAGGAATCGAACCCAGGGCCTCAGGCGTGCAAGGCAAGCGCTCTACCACTGAACCACCTTCCCAGCCCTGGACTATCTTTCTTACCTGGACTGTTTTGTCCTTCCTGGATGAGTCCAGGGAGAGGCAGGGCAGGGTTGGAAGGGCTGGGCCGTTCATGTAGGATCTTGTTGATTTGCTCCGAGGCTGCTTGGAGCTCAGTGACTCCAGGTGTACACAGCAGAGAGCTCAGTGTGGGTGGATGGGGCCCTGGGAGCTGCGGGGTCTGCAGCGAGCTCTCTTCTACTGAGCCACTTGGTGTGGTTCTGCTCCAGTGCTCATAGGACGCAACAACTGGGGTTGGGGAAGGAGAACATATCAGCACCCTCGAGACTCAGGACTGTCCAGGAAGGGGATTCTAGGGGGTCAATGCATGACTTCTAACAGGACGGGGCGCTCGGCCATCCTCCCCTAGTGCACACAGAACCATTACTGTAGCTGTCTATATGTGGCTCCTTTCTGTTTCATTGAGTCAATCTGGCATGCAGTGCTATCATAACTGCATTTAGTCTCAGATCAATTACCAATGTTTTAACACATAAAGTTGAGCTTGACTTCTTACCTAGGAATTCTACTTTGATTCTGGTTTCACAGCATTTAGTCAATTATAAAAAATTATGATTTTAACATAAGTCTTTGTGTGTGTGTGTGTGTGTGTGTGTGTGTGTGTGTGTGTGTGTGTGTGTGTGTGTATGCACGTGTCAGTACTAGGGCTTGAACTCAGGGCCTGGGTACTGTTCCTTGAAACCTTTTCTACTCAAGGCTGCTGCTCTACTACTTTTGACCACAGCCCCCATGCCGGCTTTTTCTAGCTAAACAGTTGCAAGGACTTTTTTGCCTGGGCTGGCTTCAAACAATGATTCTCAGATCACAGCTACACTAAGTAGCTACAATTACAGGGTTGAGCCACCAGCAACCAGTTTAGAGGTTTCTGTTTTAATAAATATACATATCTCCTTGGAGCAAGTAAGATAAACCACAAATTCTTGGCAGAGTAGATTGGGATTGCTGTATTCTAGATTTTGCTCTCTGTGCAGGCTCAACCTCTGTGCCTTCCATTGCTGATAGGTGGTTCCTCTGCATGATGTCTGCTGGGCTTTGTCGTCTCTTCTCTGTCATTTATAACAGAAGTAAAACTGTCTCAGCGGTGAACAGAAAGGGAAATGTATTTAGAATGGGACCCAGAATAAAATCACACAGCCACAGGTCCAGTAAGATGCTGAAGCCCAGCCAGGTCAGCAACACAGCTGCATCAGGGGCTTTTTGATTCTCAGACATGTTTCACATATCACCGAAGCCCTGCCCTAATTCCATGTGGCCAGGAGAATGGATTCAAGTACTGCTGCATCTGCCCGGAGGGGAACTTTTCCCTTAGCTTTAGGAATCCATTCTTCCTTTATTGAGAAGCCTAGTGATGGCGAATGTCAGGGAGCAGAGGAGTTGTCCACAGTGGTGACTCCTCCACTGACAGTGTCCTTCTCTGCTCATTTTGGGGTAAGAGAGCTTTCTTCCAACCTTTCTTAACCTTTATTTATCCAGTTGGACAACTTGGATGCTCAGTGTCACCCAAAAGTCTATGTGTTAAAAGCTAGTTCCACAGGACAGTATCATAGAAAGATGGTAGGGAACTGTGGGGCCCTGGTCTCTCCTTTCTCTACCTTCTGGCCACCTAATGAGCAGGTTTACTTCACTACACACTCCTGTCTTGAGGCCTAAAGCAACAACAGACAACTGATCATAGACTGGACTCCACAAAGCTATGAGCCAAAAAGAATCTTTTCTCTTTATAAGTGAACCATCTCAGGCATTCATTCTCATTTATTTCTCCATTCTTTCTCTTAACCTCTCTCTCAGTGCCTGTCCAAGAGTCCTCCCTTATTCTCAGCTACCTTTCTTCCATCCCAAAGCCTGACAATCTGCCTTCCTACTGCTCTTGTTTAGAATAGTGGCTATGATCTTTGGTCCTGGTATGTGAAGATCCAAATAGGACTCCTGGTTCTACTTCTAAATGAGCAAATAACTTGAAGAAAGTTACTTATGAGCTGTAACTTCCTTGTCTATTAAGTGCAGCTACTGATGACTTCATAGAGTTCTCTTAAAGATAACATGTGAATAGCTAGGTGTTGGTGGCTCATACCTGTAATCCTAGCTATTCAGGAGGCTTAGATCTAAGGACTGAGGTTCAAAGCCAGCCCATGCAGGAGAGTCCATGAGACTCTTATTTCCAATTAACCACCAGAAAACCAGAAGTGGTGATGTGGCTCAAGTGTAGAGCTCTAGCCTTGAGCAAAAAAAACTCAGGAAAAGCATCCAGGCCCTGAGGTTCAAGCCCCAGGACTGGCTGGCACACTTGCATGCACAGTTGCGCGCATGTGCGCGTGCATGCACACACACACGAGATCCCTATAAAGTGTTTGGGACAATACATTAACAAAAGAGATATTTATTGTCTATTCTTCTCCCTTCTTTCTCACTGCTTCTCCCAATCAGACCTGGTTTCTGGAATTTCTGTCATCTAATAGCACTCCCTGGAGATTGCCCAGTACATTAAACGCTACCTTTGCCCCCTAATTCATTGGGTAGGTAAGACAGATGTCTGTATTCCTTCCAGATGTGTCTTCTGCATCTGGCCCATACCTTCCCAAGCAGAGTGCAAATCCCCAGACTTCTAGTACAGCCACCTCTCCCACGCAGAAAGCATTCAAGCAGCACATTACCGCTTCCGAAGCTCCTGAAAATGACCATGAGATCGGGATATTCACGCAGGTTACTCTGGCTGAACAGTGTCATCAGAAGCGGCAAGTCAAAAGTCTTCTCCAGTTTGGTGAGAACGTTGTGCACCACTCTGGAGATGGGCACCAGATTTCCACAGGCTTCCAGGGATTCCTTTAAAAACTCAACCAAAGGGGTTAATGTGAATGACGAGCCCTGAGTGGAGCATTACACATCTGTGGTTTTCTGAGCCATCAGAAAACCAGTTTACTCTTTGTTTGTCAGGGTCTAACTATGTCATGATAAAGCTCATGCTGGCTGGTTATAGCCTTTTGAGTGCTGGGATTACTGGCATGAATCATTATGCTTGGCTATTTGGCTATTTTGTTGTGTGTGTGTGTGTGTGTGTGTGTGTTGGTCCTGGGGCTTTAGCTATTTTGTCGTGTGTGTGTGTGTGTTGGTCCTGGGGCTTTGGCTATTTTGTCGTGTGTGTGTGTGTGTTGGTCCTGGGGCTTTGGCTATTTTGTCGTGTGTGTGTGTGTGTGTGTGTGTGTGTGTGTGTGTGTGTGTGTGTGTGTGTGTGTGTGTGTGTGTGTGTGTGTGTGTGTGTGTGTTGGTCCTGGGGCTTGATTTCAGGGCCTGGGTGCTGTCCCTGAGCTTTTTTGCTCAATGCTAGTGCTCTACAACTTGAGCCACACCCCCACTTCCTGCTTTTAGGTGAGTTATTAGAGATAACATGGACTTTCCTGCCTGGGCTGGCTTTCAACTGTGATCCTCAATCTCAGCTTTCTGAACATTTAGGATTATAGGCCTCAGCTCGGCTTTCTGAACACCTAGGATTACAGGCATGAGCCACTAGTGTCCAGCTCTATTTTGTCTTTTTTTGTCTTTTTTTTTCTTCTCCAGTCCTGGGGCTTGAAGTCAGGGCCTGGGTACTGTCCTTGAGCTTCTTTTGCTCAAGATGAGCACTCTACCATTTGAGACACAGTGCCACTTTTGGCCTTTTTTGGTAATTTATGACAGAGAAGAGTCTCATGGACTTTCCTACATGGGGCTTTGAACCCATGTAGGATATCCACTTCCTAAACAGCCAGGATTACAGGCATGAGCCACCAGTATCCATCTCTATTTTATCTCTTTAAGAGGAAAATTTAACATCAAATGTAGAGTCAAGGTATCTAAATTAGAAAGGTCGCAGTCCTCACATTAGCCTACATATATTTAGAGGCATGGTTACAGGAGTGAACAATCTATCCTTAAAAGTAAGTCTTGAGACAGGCTCTACGGCTCACATCTCTAGCTACTCAGGAACTGAGATCTGAGGATCACTGTTCAAAGCCAGCCCATGCAGAAAAGTCCATGAGACTCTTAGTTCCAATTAACCACCAAAAAGCTACAAGTGGAGCTGAGGCTCGAGTGGTAGAGCACCAGTCATGAGCAAAAAAGCTCAAAGACAGTGTCCAAGCCCTGAGTTCAAGCCTGAGGACCAGCAAAAAAAAATACACACACACACACAAAAGCAAAAAACAAAACAAAACAAAAAACCCTGGGATGGCATGTGTATCACCCCAACTGGGTTGAATGGCGCCCCACCCCCAAACAGCAGTATGTCCATTTATAACCAATGAATATGAAATTATTCACAGAATGGGTCTTTGTAGACGTAATTAAGGATCTCAGATTAAGATGGACCTTAAAAGCAAATGTTCTTTTAAGAAGAGAAAAGTGGACAAGATCCAAAAAAGACATTATAGTATGGGAACAGGCTGAAGTAGAGTGACTGTATGGGGAAGATGAAGGATTACTATGGGCCACCTGTAACCCAAATGGGTTCTCCTCAGAACATTAAGAACTGTGAGAATGAGCCTCACCCTGGCTCATGCTTATTTGCCATGGCAGCCCCCATGGTAATCTCAAACTAATACAACTCCTGTGACATCCTCTCTCCCTTCTGCAATAATGAATGTGCCTGAGCAAGGTCTCCATTATCTAGAAGCACTGGTGGGTCATGATTTGAGTGTACTTGGAGAGAGCTGGGCTACTGTGGGAAGGGGTCCACAAGACTCACTCTGTACACCCTCTCCGTGATGAATTTGTTGTCTCGGAGGGCCTCGAAGAACGGAAAGGGCTTGTGTATGGCATAGGCAATCTCCAACTTCTGGTATATGAAGTGCTGAAGCAGAGCCTTCTCCGTGGCCTTGGTTACACTGAACATCCTACAGAAAGAGGCAGGTTGAGTAAACAGATGCAAGACTCCAAAGGGGAAACACCTGATGGTAGACATTCTGGTCCCCTCAGCTGTCCCACAAAGCCACGTGTGTCTGAGACACCTATAGGTACAGGATACAAAGGCCACCCACAACATTCAAGAGGGACCAATCACAGCATGCACAATTCCCAAAGGTGCCCCAGGTACACATGAGCCCAGCTAGCATTCAGTATTTCCCACATACCGGACTTGGCTGTAAGGGTTTCACGATCATCCCAGGATGGTTCTTACTATTGCATCCATTTAGGGGAAGAGCCTCTGACACACAGAGGTGTTGCAATTCTCACTTGTAAGTGGTACAGGTGGGAACTTATCCTGACCTTGTGCAGGCTTACAGGTATCCTATATGCAACATGGGTTAAACCAAATGGCCTGGGCCACAGCTGAAGCATTCCACTAGCAATACTCAGGGGAAAGGGAGCACCCCAAAATGAGCCAATCTGGTAATCTTCAGAAACTTGAGTTAACCCCTCAATGAAATTTCCAACAAGCAAGCAAAAAAAACGAAATACAATCACAGAGGATGTGGAAAGTGTGATTAACACAGGAGAGCTCACTGACTGATGCTACAAATACATTTCCTATCTCAGAACCGTCATGTGCCTACTGCACAACCTTGAGAAATATGGGTCATTTACGGGCCATGAGAAAACTAGTACAGAAACTATGTACTGGTGATATTGGCAAACTGTCATGAAAATAGAAACACTAACAAACTTCAAGTTTCTTTCCTTTCCTTTTTTAATTTTTTATTTTTGGTGCCAGCCCTGGGGCTTGGGCACTGTTCTTGGTTTTTTTTGATTAAGGCTTCTATGGCTTGAGCCACAGCTCCACCTATGTTTTCTCTCTTTCTCTCCATGATTAATTGGAGATGAATCTCACAGACTTTCCTGCCTAGACTAGGTTTGGACTACAATCCTCAGATCTCAACCTTCTCAGTTGTTAGGATTACAGGAATGCCACAAATGCCAGGCTTTCCCCCCCCCCCTATGGCTGGGGATATGACTCAAGGCCTGTGCGTGCTCGGCAAGTGCTCTACCATTGACCTACATCCTCAGCCCCACTTTTGAGATTTTTTTTTTAAAGAAACAAAAACAAGGATCGCCTATTTTCAATTTGGTTTGATGTTAAAAAACGGCACTCATAGCCCGGCGCCGATGGCTCATGCCTGTAATCCTAACTTCTCAGGAGGCTGAGATCTGAGGATCACAGTTCAAAGCCAGCTGGGGCAGGAAAGTCCATGAGAATCTTATCTCCAATAAACCACTAGAAAAACCAGAAGTGGTGATGTGGCTCAAGCGGTAGAGTGCTCGCCTTGAGCTGAAGAGCTGAGGGATAGTGCCCAAGCCCAGAGTTCAAGCCCCATGACTGACCAAAAAAATAAAAACAACAACAAATAAAACCCTGCACTTATCTGCAATGAGGGACTTTTTTTTCAGGGATTTAACCTTGGTGGCAGATTAAACCTCTGTTTCTTTCACCTCATTCCCTCAATCCTTTTAAATGTGGCTGGATAAAAATAAAGTAAAAAGAATAACCCACAAGGTGCTGGGCAAGCCAACAAAATGGCCTTGTCAGTCTACAATCAAGAAGGAATCCTTGGAAACAAAAAACAGGGAGAGAAGGGGAGAGAAATGTATTGTTTACAATAGACCTGGGGGAAGTCTTCAAAGATCAGCCAAAAGTAAAAGCCAAAAGAACCCAGGCTAGGAGGAGGCAGGGCCTTGAGGCTGCATTTAGGATGGTTTGTAATACAATGGACTTCAGATGGGCCATCACCAGCTTCCCTGGCCTTCCACTGTCATTCCTAAAAGATGAAAATGAGGGACCCGGATGAACTCATAGACCCGCCCAAGGTATGCAAGTGGCAAAACAGTGTCTGACTCTAAGGTCCTCTCTTACTCCGCAAGACATTGAACCTCCTAGATGATCCTACTCCTGCCTACAATGCTAAGGAATCCTTCAAATGACTGAGTAAAAGGAGAACATCTAAAAGGAAAAACATTTTAAAATGCAAGAGCTGGGGGTATGCCTCAAATCTCAGTACCAACATCCACAGAAAAGCAGCAGACATGACCAATCAACACAAGATTGAGTGACACGTACAATGTATATATGAAAAACGCATACATACACACGCTATGCCAACGAAGACCATTTGACAACATACTGTGCCTATCGCCCTGGTCAAGATGGAAGAACAACATTCCCAGACACGTGGATAGGATGTAAACCGGTTCAAATCCTCTGGAGGCTAACTTAATAATTAGTGTGCAAGTTTCCTAAAGTATGAGTTCCTCTAGGAATTTACCGATTTATGATTTATATGTTGGCAGCAGTAGCGTTTGAATTCAGGGCCTTGCGTTTGCTGGGCAGGTGCTCTACGGTTTGAGCCACAACTCCAGGCAGAGTTCTAGGAAATATTTTTCAAGGAAGTGACGACCAATTTGCTTTAAATAAATAAATGTATATATGTGTATGCATATGTGTGTATAGATGTCTGTATAATATGCAGAGCGCGTTCGTGACACATTAGAGGAAATTAAATGAAACCCGTCCTTCCTCTTTCTTCTCTGGGGTCTCCACAAGTCGTTTGTCCAGTGGATGGAAGCCAGAATGCGGGGTCGGGGGTCACCGCAGCATGGGGGCGGGGGGAGAGCTGGGATCGTCGGCCGCGGGCTGCCCGGTCTCTCTAACCGTCTCCCACGAAGTCCCGACCGACCCCTCGGCCTTTCTGGAAAAGTCCGGGAGAGCAGGTCCCGACCTCGGCCAAGCGCTGCCCGGGGACCGGCGCTCGAAGCCCCGCCGCGGGGTGCGGGCTGGACTCACCTGGACGCCGCGGCGGCTCCCGCTGCGGCCGCTTCCCAGGTGGCAGGGCCCGGGGCCGGGGCGGCGGGGAGCGCCGGGAGCGCCGGGATCCGCCTGCGGGACGGAGGGCGGAGGGCGGAGGGCGGAGGGCGGAGGGCGGAAGGGCGGCGGCGAGCCGGGCTCTGACTCAGCCGCCGCCGCCGCGAGCGTCGCGCTGCCAGGAGAGAAAGTGAAAGCAGGGGGGCGGGGCCGGGGCTCTGCGCAGCCTCGGCGGCGCCGGAGGGGCGGGGCGTGGGCGGGGCGTGCGGAGGGAAATGGTGGCCGGGAGTGGGAATGGAGGCGGGGGAGGGGCATGGAAATGGGGGGAGGGGAGGGGGAGGGGGAGGGGAGAGGGAGGGGGAGAGGGAGGGGGAGTGGGAGGGGGAGGGGAGAGGGAGGGGAGAGGGAGGGGGAGAGGGAGGGGAGGGGGAGGGGAGGGGGAGGGGGAGGGGAGGGGGAGGGGAGGGGAGGGGGAGGGGAGGGGAGGGGGAGGGGAGGGGAGGGGGAGGGGAGGGGGAGGGCAGGGGAGTGAGAGAGCCAGTAGCCCAGCCCTGGCCAAGGACTCCTGAGGACTTGACCCCCACCCCCAGCGATTTTGGGGAGAGTGAGGAGGCGTGGCTCCCGGAATGCATTTCCTAGAAACCATCTTTTTTGTTTCCACGTTTTCTTGAAGCGTGGGTTTGGAACTCAGGGCTTCTCCCACTTCTGAGCCGCCCCCATCGCCCAGCTGAGAAAGGGTCATGTTTTGTTTTCTTTTTTTGTTGACCTCGGGCTTGAACTCAGGGCCTGTTCGAGGCTAGCGCTCTTCGACCTTGAGCCGCAGCTCCACTTCTGGTTTTAGGGTGGGTAATCGGCGGTAAGCGACGCAGGGGCTGGCAAAGCCGGGGCTGGCTTTGAGCCCCGATCCTGTGAGAGGCTGTGGGACGGGAAGTCCCGCCCACGCTGGCGTCACTGCGCCCACGCTGACGTCACCGCCATGCACGCCACGCCGCTAGGGGGCGGGGGGGGGGGGGCGCCGGCCACCGGATATAGTGAGGAGGGGGTTCCGGGGAGAGGGGGAAGGAGAGAGGGAGGAGGGGAGCAAGGAGAGAGAGGAAGAGAGACCGGAAGCGAGCGGAGCAGTGTCCGGGCTCTCTCAGGCCTGAGGAGCCCAGGCTGGCGGAGGCCAGCGGAGAGGCCCACAGAGAGGTGGAGAGGAGAGAGGCCCACGGAGAGGCCTGTGGGAAGGAGAAAAGAAAGGACACAAACGTGCCCCCTTGGAGGCTGCAGCTGCTTCTAGTTCTGAGGTAACCCAGGGCAGGGTGCAAACCAGCTCATAAAACTCACGGCTTTGTCACCTCCAACCATGCCTCTGTGGACGTGCTCGCTGGCTGGCCATGACAATCCTCAGATCTCAGCCTCCTGAATAGCTAGGATCACCACAGTGGTATTTTTAAAGCAAACAGCCAAAGAGGCTGTGCCAGAAAAGCCTAGAAATGGTCAGGATAAAATTACATCAGAACACTGAGCTAGAGGGAAACCGGAACAGAAACCAGAATTCTGCCTAGAGGGACAGGTCTTTGGGGGTGTTGGAAAGCTCCACGGGGGTGTCGGAAGCAGATCCAAGCCCTTTCCCCAGGGAAGGACTCTAGAACAGCTGAGGAATAGTGCCCAGGCCCAGAGTTCAGGCCCCACCACCAGACCGACCAATAAAAAAACGAAAGCTGTGAATCCATAGTGAATGATGGGCATGGGGAAAGTGAGAATAAGTGTGTGGGAGATCTGATTAAAATAAAACACGGCTGGGAAGGTGGCTCAGGGATACAGTGCTTGCCTAGCATACATGAAGCCCCAGGTTCGATTCCTTTGTACCACATAAACAGTAAAAGAAGGGGTGCTGTGGCTCAACTGGCTCAGTTTCTTGAACAAAAGAAGCTCAGGGGCTGTGCCCTGAGTTCAAGCCCCATGACTGGCAAAAAAAAGATACATGGATGTGGCCAGGCGCTGGTGGCTAATGCCTGTAATCCTAGCTGCTCAGGAAGCTGAGATCTGAAGATGGATGTTCAAAGCCAGCCCAGACAGAAAATTCCATGAGACATCAAACTCCAATTAATGCCCCAAAAGCCAGAAGTAGAGGCTCAAGTGGTAGAACACCCAGCCTTGAGTGAAAAAGCCAAGTGAGTGCATATGTGTACACACACACACACACACACACACACACACACACACACTCTCAAACATGCACATCAATTGTGGGAAAGAAAAAAAAGCCAACACATAAGCAAGTGAGATAGAGAAAATAATGCCAGAAAGGAATTAGGAAATTAGGAAAAAATTACTTTAGAAAAAAACCAACATGAACAAGGACAAAAGATGTTCATTCTAAGCAATACATGCTCAAGAATCCACAAATAATGGAAAACCTACCCTGTTAATTCACAAGCAAATGATGTATATAATAAGAGCCTAACATTATGTGTAATTCTCTTTCAGCTCAGTGTTATGGATGTTTAAGATGCAGTCATCCTAAGTGAACAGTTTGGTGAATTTTGCCATAGGTAAGTATAGTGACAATTGACTCCCTTATCCAAGGTCTCAACTCTCAATGTTCAAACAGCTCTGCATCTGTCTTGCCTTGACAGTGCAACCTTCCCAGGGTCCAGCTCTCAACCTCTTTCCAGGTCTCACAGCTTGGCTTCAGCGCTCCCCACAGGTTAGGCCCATAATGGAATGTTCACAGCCAGGTTCAGGTTGGATTGCCCTGCCTCTGTCCAGCACATCCATGCTTACCTGGGATTTTGCCTGACATCTTATGCACCTGGGATAATAGGGTGGGGGGAGGGTGGGAGGGATCGTACAGAACTGGAAGGAAAAAGGAAGGATGAGAAAGTGCAGCAGTGCAGCTCACTGGACACTGGTGAAAATGAACTACACAACTGGAGGGTGGAGATGGGAGGGAGGGACTGGCAGAGAGGGAAGGGACAGAGGATACTGCACTCATTACTTGACTCATTGTAATCCCTCTGCACATCACTTCTATAATAACAATAAATTTTTTAAAAAATGGCTGCAGGCAATCAACAGGGTCAGGAGGGGCTCCAAAGCCTGCCTACACCTGAGCCCCAACACCCACCTGGGGCTCCTGAGCCCAGGGACGAATCCCAGCACAGCCCAGGTGAGGAGGCCCTGGAGGAGGCTTCGCAGGAGGCCTTGTGGCCTTCTGGGCCCCAAGGGACCCGTGATGGGTATCTTTGCCTCCTGGCCATCCCCAGGCTTCCCACCAGCAGATGGCGCTCCGGGGTCTGCCCCCACTCCCTCCTGCCCTCACCTCTCAGCGGTGGTGGCTGCAAGTGCATAAGCCCAGCTGTAGCAGATCCACACCTCCTACTGGCAGCCCTGAGGCCTACAGGTCCACCCTTCAGAGGCCCCAGCCTAGCCTCGCAGAGCTCCTAGCAGTGGGCCTTGACCTCTGCCATTTCAATGGGTATAACAGGAAATCATCTCATTGTGGTTTTTATCTCCATTTCCTTCATCTGTAATGGTACTGAACTGGTTTTCACTCAAGAAAAAAAAAAGAACATCTACTTTTCTCTTCCGGTTATTTATTTTATATTTTATTTGACAGGTTTTGTTACTATATTTTCATACATGTATATCAAGTATTTTGATTAGATTCAACACTCCCCTTCCCACGTCTAAACAGTCCCATCATTTAACATTAGTCCTTTCTTTTTTTTTAGTTTAGTTTTGTTTTTTTGTTTTTGGTGCCAGTACAAAGGCTTGAACTCAGAGTCTAGGTGCTGTCCCTTAACTTTTTCACTTAAGGCTGATGTTCTACCACATTGAACCTCAGCTCTACTTCTGGCTTTTGCTGATTAACTGGAGATAAGCATCTCCCAGACTTTCTTGTCTAAGCTGGCTTTGAACCTCCACCTTCAGATCTCAGCCTCCTGAGTAACTAGGGTTATAGGTGTAAGCAACTGGGCCTGGCTTATTTTTGTTATATCCTCATACTGCATTTCTTTTTTATTTCTATTTCTTTAGCCTCAACTTTGTACTGATAAATAGCTATTTTTCGAAGTTGTCCTGCATTTACAGAATGGTCATGTAGAGGTTAAAAAAAAAGGATATACCATAAAAAATCCAATGCACCCATCTTCCTGAATTGTCTAGATAAAAATCTCAGCTCCTGATTGATTACTCCATTCCATAAGAAGCTTGGTTGCTGTCTTAAAGACTTCACTGAAATAAATGAAGCTTACTTCTTGCCTTACCCTACCCATCATCTTCACTGCAGGAAAACTTAGAATTGTAGGGAGGCCTCTGCCCATATTCTCTATACTTGTCTGCACTTGGAAGCGCAGAGAGAGTTCTGTATTACCGTTGGATCTGTTCCAGAGAATTGGACGAACCAAGCATTTTGGGTCTTTTCCAGGTGGGAAATTCCAATTTGAATACCAGGTTTTAACTCTTCTAGTCCTGGATACTAAGGCATCTAACAGACCATGAGCCTGAGAGAAAATTCCAAATGGCCAACCTCCCTATCTGACTTAGGCCACCACACCTCAAGATATTCTTGATGTATTTTAGTTGAACTGTTTCCATTCTTTGCTCAGCAAGAGTAAGTGTTGGTACATTTTTGGGGGGACTTTGCCTGCCCCCTGTTCCTGTCTGTGAGGCGGAGCTGAGTGCAAAGAGATCTGTGTGTGAGTGCAGCCACATCGCAGTTAGGAAGTTTCACTTTCCTTTCTCCTTTTTGAGGCAAAGCCCTGACACTGAGTGTTTGGTTCATTGGCAGTTTCTCCCCGAGCTCTGGGAAGGCAGAGAGGTGCAAACCTAAAAGGCTGAGATCCTAAGCCAAGTTCATAGCCCACAGGGCCCTCCAGTCAGAGGTGGAGGCAGAAACCTCAGCGTCAGGTAAGATGTTATTGTTTCTTCCTTGTCCTTCATCTCTGATGAAGGTCAATGTTTGTACCTGTTACTTTTATTTACATCTGTTGCTTCTATTTACCCAGTCTCATTCAGTAGGTAACACATGGGGCATGGTAAGTCATCCAGGACTCTGGGCATTCATACACAAGCAGTAGGACTAAAGGAGGATAATCTTGGGGAGAAGCCCAGAGGCACAGTGCCTATGAACATTTAAAGTACTATTTATCAAAATACATTCCAGGAAATGGAAACATGGGTTTTTGTTGGAGGTGATGGTGTGTGTTTGTTTGTGTACTTTTTTCTGTCTTTTGAAGGGTGACTAAGGGGGGTTGGGGAGCACAGAAATGGAGGGAGGGAGGATGAACAAATGCAGGCATGATACTCAGTAGATACTATGTGGAAAATGAACTCTGCAATTTGTGGGTGGGGGTGGGAGGGGGAAACTGGAGGAAAGCAAAGAAAGGGGTGACATTGTCCAAAAAGAAATGTACTAGTCAGGCACCAGTGGCTCATGCCTATATCCTAGCTACTAAGGAGGCTGAGATCTGAGGATCACTGTTCAAACCCAGCCCAGGAAGGAAAGTCTGTGAGACTCTTATCTCCAATGAACCACAAGAAAACCAGAAGTGGTGCTGTGGCTCAAGTGGTAGAAAGCTAGCCTTGAGCTGAAGAGGTGAGGGTGAGCGCCAGGCCCAGAGTTCAAGCCTCACAATCTACAAAAAAAGAGAAAGAAATGTACTTGACATATGAAATAGTATCACATTTTAATAATAACAATAAAATTATATTTTTAAATGAGGATTTCTTTTAAACTATAGTATGTTAGCTGTTGGTGAAAAACTTAAGTCCATCCTGACTCATAACACCTTGTTTCCTTCTGATGGCCAAATGGCTGGGTTGTGTTCAAACTTTATGGTCCCTTGAAGCTTTGTTGTAGAAGATGATGATAGCTCCTAACCTATGACCCCTCTCCTCAGGCCTCCCTTATCTCAACTCCAAAAGACAACTCTGTCCAAAAAAAGAGATCATGGTAGAAAAATTAAAAACCCCAATCAGATGCTTGTGTGTTGTGAACCTTTTTCTAGTCTTCCTAGCTGGGGCTCAGTTCTGCTGTGGGCCATCTTTGTGGCCCTGAGCCCTTGAGTCAACTCAGGATCTCTGATCACTGGATTGGAGGAAGTGAAAGTAGATTAGACCCAACAACAGATGAAAAAAGGCAAAGGAGGTGGGGAGTGTTACTCTACCTCCTCCTCCTCTTCTTCCATCTGTTCCCGGATATGTGTAACACCTGCTTAGGAGAGTAGACAGAAATGATCTTTTTAACTTTTTGGGGGGGGGGGAGTCAGTCTTGGGGGCTTAAACTCAGGGCCTGGGTACTGTCTCTTAGCATTTTGGCTCAAGGCTAGTGCTCTTCCACTTTGAGCCACAGCACCACTTCTGGTTTTCTGCTGGTTAGTTGGAGATAAAAGAATCCCATGGACTTTTCTGCCTGGGCTGACTTTGAACCATGATCCTCAGACCTCAGCCTTCTGAGCAGCTAGGATTACAGGCATAAACCACCAAAATGATCTTTTTTATGTGCGTGGGGCATCAGTTGTGGGGCTTGAATTCAGGGCCTAGGTGCTGTCCCTGAGCCTCTTTGTTCTCAAGGACAGAGCTCTACCACTCAAGCCACAGTGCCAGCCACTTCTGGTTTTTGAGTGGTTGCGTGGAGATAAGAGTCTCACGGGGACTTTTTGCCCAGGCTGGCTTTGAACTTCTATTCTCAGGTGTCAGCTTCCTGAATAGCTAGGATTACAGGAGTGAATCACCAGTGCCCAGCTCGAAATCATCTTTTAAAAATACAAGGCAATGTAAAAGTGTAGGGAAACTCCTCTAATGGGGACTCTGAGCCCAGACTACACCTGGCACTTGTACAGCTCCAACAAAGATCATTTCTTGGTAAACATTTGGTAGATTTGCTAGCAGTGCCATCGGGACCTGATGCTCTCTGTTTGGGGAGCTATTAGTCACTTTTTTTTGGGGGTGGGGGTCTGGTCATGGGGCCTGAACTCTGGGCCTGGGCGCTGTTCCTCAGCTCTTTAGCTCAAGGCTAGCGCTCTACCACTTGAGCCACAGCGCCATTCCGGCTTTTTTCTGCTTATGTGGTGCTGAGGAATCGAACCCAGGGCCTCAGGCATGCAAAGCAAGCGCTCTACCACTGAGCCACCTTCCCAGCCCCTATTAGTCACTTTTAAGACATTTGATTATCATCTGAGAGCTTATGGTTCATGCCTGTAATCCTAGATACTTAGGAGGCTGAGATCATGGTTTGAAGGTAGTCCCAGGGAAGAAAGTCTGTGAGAATCACATGTCCAGAATTGGAGCTGTGGGTCAAATGGTAGAGCACCAGCCTTGAGTAGAAAAAGTTAAGGAACAGTGCCCAGGCCCGGAGTTCAAGCCCCAGGACTGGCACCAAAAAGAAAAAAAAAACTGAATATCAAATCTGTAGAGTTGTCTTATCTTTCAGTATCTATGGGATTCATGGAGAGGGCCCTTTTATATTTCTGATATTTATGACTTAGGTCTTTTCTTTTTGTGTTTTCTTTGTCAGGTTGGCTAAGGGTTTAGTCAATTTTACAAATATTTAAAAAAGCATTTGGTTTCACTACATTTCTCTAACTTTTTCCTATTTCTCATACTTTAATTTTTTTATTTCTCATTTTTTTCTGTTGGCATTAGGCTTAACTTGCTCCTTTACTTCTCTGATTTTCTCAGATGAAAACATAGATTAGTTTATATCTTGTTTTTTCTTTTCTAAATAAGTGCATTTAATGCTGTACGTTTCCTTCTAAGGACAGCTTTGGCTATATCTTACCAATTTGCTAAGTTGAGTTTTATTTGTATTTGGTTCCAACTGTCTATGTTTTTCTCTTGAGACTTATTTGGCTCTAGAATGGAATTGTTCAATTTCTAAATATTTAGAAATTTTTCTGGCTGTCTTTCTGTTGTTGATCTTCAATTTGATTCCAATGTGATCTGACAATACACTTCAATGATTTCTATCCTCTTAAATTTGTTAAAATACATTTCATGGCTTAAAATGTGTTCTGCCTTAATAAATATTTAATGTAAGGGCTCTGTATACTTTGCTACTGCTGAACAGTTTGTTAACTAAATGCCAGTTAGATCAAGTTGATCACTCTTGCTGTTTAAGTCAGCTGTAGCCTCGCTGATTTTCAGAGACTACAAGAGAAATATTGAAGTATTCAACTTTAGTCATGGATTTGTCTGTTGCTCATGGTATTGCTATCAATTTTTGTCTCTTATTGCTTATGCTGAGCATCAGTCCAAGCATGCCTTGCACATGTTAGGTGAGTTCTCTTCTACCAAGTCTACCCACCTAGTCTGCCTCTGCCTTTTGGTAATAGTTTTTAAGTTGCATGTACATTGAAGACTGTGTGTCTTCTTGGAGAATGGACTCTTTTATATAGTACTCCATCACTGACAGTTTCCTTACTCCAAAGTTTGTTTTGTTTGAAATTGTTTTAACTATTGGAGCTTTCCTTTCATTAGAACAGGTATGACACACCTCCCTCTATCCCTTTATGTTAAACTTATTCGTGTTTGTATATTTAAAGTGGTTTTCTTACATACGAGATATAGTTGGATTCTGTGTGTGTGTGTGTGTGTGTGTGTGTGTGTGTGTGTGTGTGTGTGTGTGTGTGTGTGTGTGTGTGTGTGTGTGTGTGTGTGTGTGTGTGTGTGTGTGTATACCAGTCTTGGGGCTTCCATTCAGGGCCTAGGCGTAAGCTTTTTCACTTAAGGCTAGCACGCTACCACTTGAACCACTGCTCTACTTCAGGCTTTTTTAGTAGTTTGTTGTAGATTAGAGTTCACAGACTTTCTTGCCCAGGCTGGTTTTTCAGCCATGATCCTCAGATCTCAGCCTACTAAGCAGCTAGGATTATAGATGTGAGCTGTTGGCACCTAGCTTACTCTTTGTCTTTAATTTTTAATTTTTTTAGAATTGTTATGCAGTAAGGATACTGGGTCTAAGCAGTATGCCTGGAAGCAATATGCCTGTCCTTATAGCCATCTTGATTGATGCCTTGCTGGGTAGAGAGGGATTTCTACACACCTCTGAAAAATTCTAGAGGTAATAAAGGACATTCTTTGGATTACAAATGTGTCCTGAGTTGTTAAGCTCCAGGAAAGTCTTCCTTCACTTAGATAATTGGCCCTTGATTTCCCCTGATTGTGTCCTTACCTGATTTGCTTTGATACGTTTATTAGGTTTTCATCTGGTTTTCTTGGCTCATGTATAACTTTTCTTACCTATGTAAGCTTTGTGCTAGCTGCATTCCCAGCTGCTGGTCTTTGAGACAGTCCCCCAGCGGTCCTCCAGCTCTCCAATAAAGACTCACAATTTGAAGGTGGCTCAGTGGTAGAGCACTTGCCTTGAATGCTGGAGGCCCTGGGTTCGATTCCTCAGCACCACATAAGAAAAAAGCCAGAAGTGGCGCTGTGGTTCAAGTGGTAGAGTGCTAGCCTTGAGCTGAAGAGCTGAGGGACAGCGCCCAGGCCCAGAGTTCAGGCCCCATGACCGGACCCCCCCCCCCCCCAAAAAAGACTCACAATTTGGCCTCTTACATGGTTGTTTCTCTGTTTCTGGTTCCAAGTTCCTTTACAATAATTATAAGGGTAATAGGGGGTTACCCCCCCCAAAAAAAGACTCATAATTTGGCCTCTTACATGGTTGTTTCTCTGTTTCTGGTTCCAAGTTCCTTTACAATAATTATAAGGGTAATAGGGGGGTTACAGTAGCAGGTAATGAGTTTGGACAGTGTCACCTCTTCCCTCACTCTCTCCCAGTTTTTCACTTCCATCTCGACCCACAAGTTATATAGTTAACTTTCAGCAGTTATCTTTTAATGGGAATATTTAGGCCATTCATGTTTAACTTATTAATATAGCTAAGTTAATACCTACTACACTTGTATATATTTTCATTATACTCACTGTTTCTATTTGTTCTTCTTTGCTTCCTATGCCTTTTCTGCTTTTCTATTTCTTTTCTGTGACTCTAGAGAGCAAGGCCTTGAACATGCTAGCGAGAGGCTCTACCATGGCCTCCACATTCCTTAGTTGATTTTCTGGTTCTAAGGGTTTTATGACCCACTCCCTCACTTTTCTGGTAGTACTGGAGTTTAAATTCTGGGCCTCAAGCTCATTTAGTTTGCTTCAAAGCATGCTTCTAGCTGGCTTTTTTGCTGGCTAATTGGAGACAGAGTTTCTAGGACTTTTCGCTGAGTATCTAGGATTACAGGGGGAAGCTACTAGTGTCAGGCAAGCCACATGTCATTCATGCTGCTGCTGCCTCCTCCTCCTCCTCCCTTCTTTCTTCTTGGTTGGTAATAGAGTTTGAACTCAGGGTATTGTAATTGCTAAATAGAATCTCTCTCACTTGAGGTATATCCCTGCCCTTCTTTTCTTTCTTTTTTTTTTTTTTTTCTATCCTGTCTTTGCTCTCCCTCTCCCCTCCTTCTTACTTTTTTTCTTTTCTTTTTTTTAAAGACAAGGTCTTGTTATGTAGCTCAGGCTGGCCTAGAACTCATGATCCTCCTTCCTCAGCTCCCACTCTCTGGGAGGCTTCCTATTTATAATTATTGAGTCACTGGGAAGCATTTAGAAGCTCACTACCTATCTCACCGGGTATCACTGTTTTTTAGGATGGCCGCAGAGGAGCAGGATATGGAGGATGATCCCATTTTCAGGTACTTCAGAGAAAATAAGGTGGAGATTGCCAGTGCGGTGACGAGTCCATTCCCTTTCCTCATGAGCCTCCGGGACCGTGCCTTCATCTCTGAACAGATGTATGAAGTAAGCGATAATTCCTTTGTGATGGGAAGCCAGCCCCAAACTTGAGGGGTTCAGCCCATGGGCTGGAGGGGAGTTCCCTGTGAGTGGGGACCTTCACATCCTGTAAATTGGAAGGTGAAGGGAAGAGCAGGCCTTCCAGGATGCCCGCTTTTCCTGCAGTAACTGTGGAGAGAGTTACCAGGGGAGGGATCCGGGCAGAATGGGAACTGGGATTACATCATAGGAGTCTTTCTAGTTTGCTTAATGATATACCAGTATAAGCTAAAAGGAAATAAATCCAAACTGTGTGTGTTTACAAAGTCACTTATTTGTGTCAGTGCTGAGGCTTGAACTCAGATACTGGGTGCTGAGCTTTTGCTATTCAAAGCTCGTGCTCTACCACTTGAGCCACAGCTCCACTTCTGGCTTTTTGGTAGTTAATCAGAAATAAGAGTCTCACAGATTTTCCTGCTCAGGCTGGCTTGAAACCATGATCCTTAGATGTCAGCCTTCTTGAGTAGCTAGGATTACAGGCATGAGATACCAGCACCTGACACCAAGCCCACTCATTTTAAACACCTGAGCTTGAAACCTGTGAGTCTAGAAACTCACAGAGTAGTGTGGGACATTAACATGAAGCTGGAAGCTGCCTTTAGACATTTTTTTTGTCAGTTGTGGGGCTTGAACTAGGCCTGGGCACTGTCCCTGAGCTTTTCAGCTCAAGGTGAGAGCTCTACCACTTGAACCACAGTGCTACTTCCAGTTTTCTGGTAGTTTATTGGAGATGAAAGTCTTAAAAGACTTTCCTGCCCGGGCTGGCTTTGAACTGCAATCCTCAGATTTCAGTCTCCTGAGTAGCTAGGATTACAGGCATGAGCCACTGACGCCTGGCACGGCCTTTAGACATTTTTGGAATCTAGAGTGTTATGAAGATTAGCACTGGGTCCCCTAGGAGATAATGAGAGCAAACCTCTTTGTCTTTCTGAATTTTCTTTGTTCTTGGGCCAGGATCATGGCAGAGGAGGGTGGTCACTTGATTTCCTGGAGCCCAGACCAGGCCACTCCTTGGAGGAAGGCAGAGGCTATTGTTTGCTCAGCAGCACAGTGGTCCATTAGGCCGCTTCTAAAATCTCCTAGTCTGGCTTCCAAAGCCCCCGACATTTGTCTTTGAAAACTCTGTATATCAACCAGGTACTGGTGGCTTACACCTGTCATCCTAACTACCCAGGAGGCTGAGATCTGAGGATCGTGGTTCAAAGCTAGCCTTGGCAGGAACGTCCATGAGACTCTTATCTTTAGTTAACCAGCAGAAAACTGGAAGTGGCACTATGGTTCAAAGTGGTAAACTGCTAACATTGAATGAAAAAGCTCAGGGACAGTACCTAGACCTTAAGTTCAAGCCCCACAACTGACAAAAACTGACAAAAGAAAAAAAGAAAAGAAAAGAAAACCTGTATATTAATGTCAGAGAGTTAGGTTCACAAAATGAGTCGTGTGTGTGTGTGTGTGTGTGTGTGTGTGTGTGTGTGTGTGTGTCTGGGTGTATGTCTATGTGTGTGTGTGTGTGTGTGTCTGGGTGTGAGTCTGGGTGTGTGTATGTGTGCTCACACATGTGTGTGCCAATACTGAGGCATGAGTGCAGAGCCTAAGTTCTGTCCCTGAGCTCTTTTCCTCAAGACTAGTGCTGTACCACTTGAGCCACAGCTCCACTTACAACTTTTGGATTAAATAGAGATAAGGGTCTCTTGGATTTTTCCTGCCCAGGCCAGTTTCAAACCAGGATCCTCAGATCTCAGCCTCCTGAGTAGCTAGTATTACAGATGTGAGGCACAAGTAGCTGGTTTAAGACTTTCTTACGACAGAAACCATTTAAGAAGCCATTTCCATATATATGACGTTCTAAACATTTCTCAAGAGAGCACATGGTCTTTGGATCAAACTGAGACTCTTTTACAATCTGTAAATCCATAGTGACTTAATTCTCCATTCAATGCTTTGAAGCATTTTCAAGAAAGCTGTAAGAACGTGGTCCCACTGGCACAAGTGATATATGACATCCTCAGTGAACTTGAGAAGACGTTCGACCTGTCACTTCTCAAGGTGCTGTTCAGCAAAGTCAATATGTTGGCTTATCCTGATTTAAAGGAGATTCTCAGAAACTTCCCAAATGGTAACTATAATGGGGATTTAAGCCCACTTCATTCATTCATTCATTTTGCACTTGCACTTATTTTCCTGAGGGACTGTGATATGCCACACACAGCACTACAATGTGGAAGGAAACATCCATGGCTCATGTCCTTATGGAGCTCACACATGGGCCAGGTAGCCCCACAAATGATTATTGTCAGGACCTGATTTTGATGCACAAAACATAGGGTTTTTCATGTCCGTCCTTCTTTGGGGCATTGGTGTCCTTTCTTAGGGAAAAAAACCAAAAACCAAGAAACAAAAAATGAAGCCCCCTCTGATGCTTGGAAACATGGTTAAGAATTTAAAAGAGATTTTTGTTTGTTTCGTGTTGGTCCTGTGGCTTGAGCTCAGGGCCTGAGTGCTTTCCCTAAGCATTTTTTTTTTTCTCTCAAAGCTAGCACTGTATCACTTGAGCCATGGCTCTACTTCTTGCTTTTTGGTGGTTAATTGGAGATAAGAGTCTCCTGGACTTTCCTGGCCAGCCTGGCTTTGACCTGCGGTCTTCAGCTCCTCCTGAGGAGCTAGGATTATAGGCATGAGCTACCACCTTACAGCTAAAAAAATTTGCTTTGTATTAGAAAAAAAATTATCACCCAGTGCAATCCTCTGTCAACTTGCTTCTCTTTTTTTCTTGCCTCTCTCTCTTTCTCTCTTTCTTTTTCTTTCTTTCTTTCTTTCCCCCTCTCTCTCCTTCCTTCCTTCCTTCCTTCGTTCGTTCCTTCCTTCCTTCATATTTATAGTTCTGGTGTTTGGACTCAGGGTCTGTGTTTGCTAGGCAGATGCTCTTAACACTTGGGCCACATTCCTATTCTCTTCCTTAGTGCTCTTGTACCTCTCTCTCTTGCACCTCTCTCTCTCTCTCTTTCTTTTTTTCTTTCTTTCTTTTCCCCTCTCTCTCCTTCCTTCCTTCCTTCTTATTTATAGTTCTGGTGTTTGGACTCAGGGTCTGTGTTTGCTAGGTAGATGCTCTTAACACTTGGGCCACATTCCTATCCTCTTCCTTAGTGCTCTTGTACCTCTCTCTCTTGCACCTCTCTCTCTCTCTCTCTCTTTTTTCTTTCTTTCTTTCTTTTCCCCTCTTTCTCCTTCCTTCCTTCCTTCCTATTTATAGTTCTGGTGTTTGGACTCAGGGTCTGTGTTTGCTAGGCAGATGCTCTTAACACTTGGGCCACATTCCTATCCTCTTCCTTAGTGCTCTTGTACCTCTCTCTCTTGCACCTCTCTCTCTCTCTTTTTTTTCTTTCTTTCTTTTCCCCTCTTTCTCCTTCCTTCCTTCCTTCCTATTTATAGTTCTGGTGTTTGGACTCAGGGTCTGTGTTTGCTAGGCAGATGCTCTTAACACTTGGGCCACATTCCTATCCTCTTCCTTAGTGCTCTTGTACTTCTCTCTCTTGCACCTCTCTCTCTCTCTCTCTCTCTCTCTCTCTCTCTATTTCTGGCCTATTTCTCTAAAACAGTTACCTTCTCTTCTAGAGAAGTCCTTCTGCTCTTCACTATTCATAATTATATATAGTTGATGAAACATTTCCCACATTTATTATTTATTTGAATTTGGCTTTACTGTTCTCTGATCATTTCAAAGAGGTTTAGATACCATTTGCAGCCTTTCCACTACCTATCACTTTTTAAATGTTAAGTGGAGATTCTCTATGGAGAGCAGCTTTCAGATTCCAGGAGCCATCTGAAGGCCTAGGCCATGTGAGAGCCCCCTCATCTGAGGTCAGGAAGGGTCCACTAAAGCCCAGGAGTGAAGTGTGCACCAGCTGTGATTGGGAGATGCAGCTGTTTGGCATTCTTACCCTCTTTCCTTCTTTTCCTCAGAGCTTCATGGTACCTTCTATGACTCCTTCCATAAGGGAGCAGGGACACCACAGGCGTCCAGTATCCAATCAAGGACGCCACAGGCATCCAGAATCCAATCAAGCTGCCCTCAAGGTACTTCTAAGTCACTAAAATGTGGCCTTCTTGCTGAGTAAATGTTGTCAGATGATGTCATCTGATCTCCACAGCATTAATTTGGGAAGACAAGCTGTTGGTTCTTCCCATTTCAGAGCTGAAGTGGCAACAATGTGTGGAAGGCCATTGGCCAGGTCTAAGTTGTCAAGTGAGAGCCATGCATTTGACATCTCTGATGACTCTGGTGGAGCTGTGGTGGGGCTAGAGGGTGTTAGGGTGTTTGGGATCATGGAGCAGAGCTCTCACGAGAGATGCTGGGTGAGTGGATCAGGGCCTGGTTCAGAGAGTCTCTTATTTGATACAAGCATGTCAGCAGCAAGAGAGATGGAGGCCTGGTGGCTGCCATGTGAGATGCAAGAGCTTTAGAAGCATAGGTCAGAAGGTAAACTAAGATGAAGAGCTCTGGAGAGCAGTGAAGAAGAAAGGGAATCGAGGAACATACAGTAGTTATGGTACAGATCAAGCAGCAACTGGAAGCTGGTGGCTGATGTCTGCAATCCTAGCTGCTCAGGAAGCTTAGCCCTGAGGACTATGGTTCCAAGCCAGCCAGGGCACATAATCCAAGAGGTTTTTATCTCCAACTTTCCAGTTAAAAGCTAGAAGTGGAGAAATGGTAGAGTGTCAGCCGTGAGTGGAAAGCAAGAGCACAGGCCCTGAGTTCAAGTCAGAGAGAGAGAGGGAGGGAGGGAGGGAGAGAGCGCAGTATATTATGCTGACAGAAAAAAATGAAGACAACCATGATAAACAGAAAAGAAGGAGGCAGAGAAAGCCTGGGATGGAGTGGGGGGTCTCTGGTGAGGTCCCTGGGGCCACCCCTTCTCATGTTCCCAAGGAGAAGCTCTCATAACACAGCGGGATGCCTAGAGATCTCCCAGCATCCCCGTGTCTGACCACCATTTCCACATTGCTCTTCAGTGTTCTGTGGGCTCATGTCTGCCAAGGAGGTTCCCGAGCTCCTGGCAGGTGCTTGGAGAGGTAATTATACTTCAGTCACCAGTCACCTCACTCTTGAAATGCTTTGCCTCTCTGTGCACAAGAGAGAGATGCTTTCCTTGCTCTCCTCTTACCACACACACTTTGGTTCACCCTGCGTGTAAATGTCTCCATGCAACTGAAGGTCCCTTAAATGGGCACACCTTGGGTGAAGAGCTTAAAAGTATAGGGTAATAAAAACCTAGAATCAGGCAGTACATGGAGTCACGTGCAATGACCTGACTGAGTTCAATCCCCAGTACAACCAAAAGAAAAGAAAAACCAAAAAGGAAGGGGGGGGGAGGGAGGGAAAAAGGGAAGGAGGGAGGCAGAAGAAAGAAAGGAAAGAGACGTAGAGTGACCCAGAGAAAGTGAAAGACAAACTAGGAAGCGGAAACCCTCAATAAGAAATAGGATAAAGAAACAGGTTGGAGGGAATATATTATACAGAACAATAGTAAGCTACTCTCAATGTGGAAGGAATGTGAAAGGAAATAAATAAAGCTGTAAACCAAATAACCTACAGAGTAAAAACTGACCAAAGAAAGGAGTGAAGAAGTGGCAGCCCCAGAGCCCTGAAGTGAGAGCGGTAGAGAGCCTTCCACAAGAGCATCTATCGCCAGAGGGGTTTTTTCCAGTCAGGTCTCCCCAGGGCCTCAGGGCAGTGTCACCTGCTCTTAGATGACAGCATGGATCTCAAGTGTATTCACCCCAGTCCTGTCAACAAAGCACATTGTTCCGTGGTTCTGAAGACATTGTTCTAGAACCTTCTCCACTAGGATATCTGTCAGGAAAAAGAGTCCCCCCAAGGGAAACCAAGGTTTGCCTTCTAACCCTAGAAACTCTTGCTTTTCCTGATCTTCTCTCTTGCTAAATAGATGAGGGTCTTGTGTTCTCTTGTTCTTGACCTCATTTCTCACAATTCTCACTTGAGAAATGGAAATTGGACCAGTTATTTGCTTCCTTCAGTCCAGTGGGTGGTCTCTGTTGTCCTAGGAGCCCATAGCTACTCTTCCTGTGGGCTTCTGTGGCTGCCATCCAACATGGAGGCCCATATCCTCTTCTCTCAGCTAAAAGTTGTATCAGCAGATGCAAAACTCAGGTCCTCCTTTTGTCTGTGAGCCTTTGGACTCACCCTTTCCTGCCTTGGGTGGTTCTGCCTGGGCTTCCCTCTGCCCCATGACCCCTTACTCTGACAGTGATGCCCAGGAAGAGAAATAGAGGAAAGAGACAACTGACTTTGGGTTCACAGCAAAGACAAAGAGCAAGGAAGAAGAGACAGAGACCGGAGCCAAGGAGGCAGAAACACATTCAAAGAAACACTGGAGGTGCTGGCAGCCAGAAGCAGGGGCAGAGGCAGAGACCACATGCAGGAGGGGAGGGAAGAGGCAGAGTGGGGACAGGCAGGGCTCTGAGGAAGTGAGCTGGAGAGGGTGACCAATGTGTGTCCATCTCTAGGCCAGCTGACCCAAAGGTGGCCCAGCAGGGTCTGGAGGCAGTGGCCTTACCTGGGAGACGCACGATGTTCCCTGTCTTCACTGTCACTTTTGTCACCATTAAGATCCTGGTTGAATAGCAAAGGCTTTTGTTTTTCTCTGCAGAGAGAGACACTGCTGGCTTGGAAATCAATCCAGAAAAGGAGCCCCAGGATGCCTTGTGCTCCCCACCCAGAAATGGGCCAGGTAAGGAAAGAAGGTGTTTCTAGCCATGGGCCCTGGGGGTCTGTTGCTGGGCACAGAGGTGGCTGCTTGGAGCCCACTGGGACCCACTCCAGCCAGCACTCACAAATGACGAGAGCCTTTTGTGGGAAACACAAGGCAGAATCCGTAGGAGTCCTCTTCCTGACAGCACCACCCTTACTGGTAGACCTCGTGTGTACATATTGAAATAGTGACTATCGAGACAAGATGGTGCTTTTTTCCTTTTCACTCTTTCATTGAATCTTTGTCAAGATTCAGTGTTATGATTGTGATCCCTGAGCCCCCCTTATTTTCTGGGAACTTGCTGGTTCCATCTGAGCATGTGGGGATGTGTTTCCTGGTCCTTCTGCATGGTCAGTGCTATCTGTGTTCCTCTTCAGTGTCCTGTGACCCCAGTGCTTTCCAGATGACTAATGAGGGAGCAGCTGAGAAGATGCTCAACCAACCACCAGGTAGCACAGAAGGTAATTAATTGTACCTTCAATTTTTCCAGGAAACTAAAGGAGTCTTGGCTTTTCTCTGCCTGCAGGAAGGGGCTTACCCCACCATCTTTCCTTCTACTTGGTCCCCTTCCCAAAGAACTCAGGCAGGAGAAATGGGTGGGTCCAAGTTGTTGAGGGAGGGAAGGAAGGGCTGTGGCCAGTCTTCCACCTCCAGAGCCTACTTTAGCCACTGCATCAGGGTCTGAGCAGAGGGACATCCCCCCACCTTGTTCTTAACTGCTATGACCTTCCTTGTGCCTGTGAGGAGTCCTCTAAGGGATTTCATCAGTTTCTTCATCTGGCAGCCATCCTTGTTTACAAACATTTGATGGAGAAAAGCCCCTGGGTGACTTGTGCTCACCACCAAGACATGAGGCAGGTAAGGGAGGGAGGGAGGAGGGAGTTATCAATACATTGGTGGGAGACCAAATTCCAAGCTGGTTTTTCTTGGCAGTTTTCTGCTGAATGCACTTCCCAGTGGAATTAGCCTTCTTCTATTTTCATATTTGTGTGTGTGTGTGTGTGTGTGTGTGTGTGTGTGTGTATACATATAGTATAAAGTGATCATATTCATACTCTTTACCCTCTCCATTCTCCCTCCTTCTACTAGAACCCTCTTCCCCACAACCATACCCACTTTACATTTTTGTTACCCATTCTTTTAGGTGTATATTAACTGGCCAGATGATTCTCTGATTTATTTGGGGCCAACCACAAACAAAATCTTTGTTCTTGGAGACTTACTCTAATAATCCTCCCATTTTTAAGGTCCAATTCACTATATAATGTAAGCTAATTATAAGAATCATAAAAACAACATCTTATATCTATAGTTCTTTAGAGGAGAAAATCTTCTGGAGTCATTTAGAATCCTACCTACTGGATCTGGGGGTCACATAATACATAGAAAATAATTGCCCAGATGAGCCACTAATTTTCTTAGGCAAATAATATTGAACAGAACATCTAAGAATAAAAATATGTTAAGGGAAAGAATTCATCTTTAGATGAGATTGAGAAATTGCAGAAATTTGATTAGGGACTGCAGGGAAGGGAAGTATATCTATTCTTTTGGTGGCCTATAGATCTTTCATCTAAGCCTATAGCCTAGGCAGATTAATAGTCAGATCAACTAAAAATTGATCACGTGTAAGAGAATTTTCCCAGGACTGCTCACATTAGTCCTTTGCATATTTAATCTGGTATTTCCATTTTCGGAATACATGAAGCCACTCAGCTTCTAGAGCTGGTGGTTCATGCCTGTCATCCTACCTACTCAGGAGGCTGAGATCATAGTTCAAAGCCAGCCTAGACAGGAAAGTTCATGGGACCCCCATAACCCCCCAAAATAGTCAGAAAAGCCAGAAGTTGCTCTGTGGCTAATGTGGTAGAGCACTAGCTTTGAGAAGAAGGAACTCAGGAACAGTGCCCAGACCCTGAGCTGAAGCCCCTGAACCAGCAAAAAAAGAGAAAAAAAGAATACATCTCTATGACATTTAGAAGAGTGTTGCTAAAGGATGGAAAGTTTCTCAGATAATGATGTAAAATGGTGCAATACTGGTTAGGACAAAGGACACACAACTACGTCGCCCCCATGCGTTCCCCACCCCAGTTTTTCTATAGCTACTTCTCGAATATGTTGGGAGGATACACTGAAAGTCCCTCATTATACACCAGGGCCATCTCTAGTGAAGTGTGGTCATCCGTGAAGTGGAGGGTAAGGGTTTGAGTCATAGTGAGAGTACAGAGAGAAAGCCCCTGTTCTATAGGAGGAGACAGGGGCTCTGACAGGGGCCCATGACCAACAGCAGAAAGGTGCTGCATTTGGTTCTAAGTGCAGATGGTGTGTTAGCCAGGCATGGCATACCAGTCACACCAACCAAGCACTGATCCAAACAGGGACATCTCATCAAGTACATGATATGAGCTATTCCAGATTACATTGCAAGCAAAATGATTTACCTATTTTCAAATGAACTAGACACCAGTTCATCAAGATGCATTGTATTCATAAACTACTTTGTTAAAAGGCACCTCTTTGTAAGAGGAGGGACTTGTGACAAAGTGTGACTCTACAGCCTGACTCATTTGACTACTGACTTAATTTGGGGGTGGTTTGGATTAGGGACTTAACTGTATTTTTGTTTCCCTCTGTTTGCTTTTGGTCACTATATTCTTAAATTCAGAGACATAGGAAAATCAGGAAGTAACACTTGGACCAAACTTTCTAAGATTAGGAAATGTGAAAATAAATGAAGTAGTGAAAGAAAAAGCATAGGAACATGGGCTGGGAAGGTGGCTCAGTGGTAGAGCGCTTTCCTGGCATGCATGAGCCCCTGGGTTCGATTCCTCAGCACCACATAAGCAGAAAAAAGCTGGAAGTGGCACAGTGGCTCAAGTGGTAGGGTGCTAGCTTAAGCTGAAGAGCTGAGGGTCAGCACCCAGGCCCAGAGTACAAACCCCATGATTGACCAAAAAAAAAAAAAAAAGCAAATAAGTGTGTATCTGAATTCATGTCCATCCTCAAGTTGAACAAATTCAGAAAATCAGCTGGCAAGAACAAGTCAGAGCTCAAGTTGTTGAGAATCGATTCACTTGGCAGTGGAGCAGAAGACTATGCCAGGTTCAAGAGGTGTGGGATTCCCACCTGCTGCTGCTCCATGGCCCCCTTGCCCCCTCATCTGACAGTGATGCCCAGGAAGAGAAATAGAGGAAAGAGACAACTGACTTTGGGTTCACAGCAAAGACAAAGAGCAAGGAAGAAGAGACAGAGACCGGAGCCAAGGAGGCAGAAACACATTCAAAGAAACACTGGAGGTGCTGGCAGCCAGAAGCAGGGGCAGAGGCAGAGACCACATGCAGGAGGGGAGGGAAGAGGCAGAGTGGGGACAGGCAGGGCTCTGAGGAAGTGAGCTGGAGAGGGTGACCAATGTGTGTCCACCTCTAGGCCAGCTGACCCAAAGGTGGCCCAGCAGGGTCTGGAGGCAGTGGCCTTACCTGGGAGACGCACGATGTTCCCTGTCTTCACTGTCACTTTTGTCACCATTAAGATCCTGGTTAAATAGCAAAGGCTTTTGTTTTTCTCTGCAGAGAGAGACACTGCTGGCTTGGAAATCAATCCAGAAAAGGAGCCCCAGGATGCCTTGTGCTCCCCACCCAGAAATGGGCCAGGTAAGGAAAGAAGGTGTTTCTAGCCATGGGCCCTGGGGGTCTGTTGCTGGGCACAGAGGTGGCTGCTTGGAGCCCACTGGGACCCACTCCAGCCAGCACTCACAAATGACGAGAGCCTTTTGTGGGAAACACAAGGCAGAATCCGTAGGAGTCCTCTTCCTGACAGCACCACCCTTACTGGTAGACCTCGTGTGTACATATTGAAATAGTGACTATCGAGACAAGATGGTGCTTTTTTCCTTTTCACTCTTTCATTGAATCTTTGTCAAGATTCAGTGTTATGATTGTGATCCCTGAGCCCCCCTTATTTTCTGGGAACTTGCTGGTTCCATCTGAGCATGTGGGGATGTGTTTCCTGGTCCTTCTGCATGGTCAGTGCTATCTGTGTTCCTCTTCAGTGTCCTGTGACCCCAGTGCTTTCCAGATGACTAATGAGGGAGCAGCTGAGAAGATGCTCAACCAACCACCAGGTAGCACAGAAGGTAATTAATTGTACCTTCAATTTTTCCAGGAAACTAAAGGAGTCTTGGCTTTTCTCTGCCTGCAGGAAGGGGCTTACCCCACCATCTTTCCTTCTACTTGGTCCCCTTCCCAAAGAACTCAGGCAGGAGAAATGGGTGGGTCCAAGTTGTTGAGGGAGGGAAGGAAGGGCTGTGGCCAGTCTTCCACCTCCAGAGCCTACTTTAGCCACTGCATCAGGGTCTGAGCAGAGGGACATCCCCCCACCTTGTTCTTAACTGCTATGACCTTCCTTGTGCCTGTGAGGAGTCCTCTAAGGGATTTCATCAGTTTCTTCATCTGGCAGCCATCCTTGTTTACAAACATTTGATGGAGAAAAGCCCCTGGGTGACTTGTGCTCACCACCAAGACATGGGGCAGGTAAGGGAGGGAGGGAGGAGTGAGTTATCAATACATTGGTGGGAGACCAAATTCCAAGCTGGTTTTTCTTGGCAGTTTTCTACTGAACACACTTCCCAATGGAAATAGCCTTGATGGACTTTTTGGGGCATTTAGGAAGATGATAAGTCTTGGTAATTCCATGATTTAAGGCCTTGTTGAATGCTAGGTTAGTTCAGAAATGGGGTGGGATTACAGAGGATCCCTTTTCTTTCATTGCTTAGTATCTACTACTACAATTATTTGATTGCATAAGACAACTTCTGTCCCTACTCACCCCTTCCCTCCATGGAAGTCCAAAAGCTCTGCATTCCTTTGCTGATTGATCACTTTTATTATTTTGTCACATACTTGATGAAGCCTTCAGAGAAACACTAACATACTATTTAACTGAGAGATTTCAGATTCACTATTATTTAAATCTTAATGTAATTATTTTTTTGGGGGGTCTGGTTGTGGGGCCTGAACTCCGGGACTGAGCGCTGTCCCTCAGCTCTTCAGCTCAAGGCTAGCGCTCTACCACTTGAGCCACAGTGCCACTTCTGGCTTTTTTCTTTTTGCTTATGTGGTGCTGAGGAATTGAACCCAGGGCCTCATGCATGCAAGGCAAATGTTCTACCACTGAGCCACCTTCCCAGCCCTTTGATCAGCAATCTTCATGTCATTGTCATACAGGATTGCCCTCCCCCAACTTGGGTAAACATGATATGTTTATCTCCCAGAACCTTAGGACTTAAATAGAGCAGTGTTGTTATTCTTCTGAAGAACTAGAAATACACAAGTAGCGAATGTACAGGTGTCTTATGAGACCCAAGAGTGACAAGCCACCAAGATCAGTTCCTGGCTCTGATTCTGTTAGGCTGGTATAGGTTGATGGGAAGTCCCATGGTCTGAGCTCAATTGGAAAGCCCAGGGGCCTTCAGGTACCCAGGAGGGCCTTCTTCTAGGGTTCAATGGACATGATTTCATTCAGTCATTAAAGATACTTAGGAAGAGAGAAGGAAAAAAAATAGAGCATTAGAAAATATGGCAGTTATAGAAGACAGCCAAAAGAGTGGAGCTGAAGAAGATGAATACAGAAGCAATGCAAATAATAGAATGCATCCCTTAAGAAGAGTAAGAAAATCAGACAGACAGGAAATGTTAGGAAAGTCCAGAATCAAGAGAAGCAGAGACCATAGTGTGGCAGTGAAAATGTGTTCTCATAAGCCAAGCAGCTACCACTTGATACCAAACAAAAACTAAAGATGGAAAGAGAGCAGCTAGCTCTGTAGCTCAAGCTCACCTGGAACTCAAGATCATCCTATCTCCACCTCCTGATTACTGGGTTATAGGCATGTGCTATCACACTGAGTTAGAACTCATTTTTTTCCTTCTTCTTAAAATAGTTATTGTAAAGGTGATACATGGAGGGATTGCAGTTTCTTAAGTTAGGTAACGAGTACTGATGGGAATCTGCCCTGTTCTCATAACCCAGTGTGCTCCATGGCTCACTCACCCCTCTACTCTCATCCCCCTTCCCTCCACGCTGCTCAGTCTGAGAAATCCCTATGCAGAAATGGTTCTTGGGGAAAATCTCACACCCAACTCATCTGAAAATACACCAGTCTTTTTGGTCACAATCGGTGGCAGAATGACCTTTTGACCTAACTGCTCTTAGTAATGTCTAGCTGACCATCTGTCATATTGCCCCATCTCACCAGTCAACAGCTTCCTTACTCAAGAAAAAAAGGAACAGTTCAAGCCCCACGACTGACAAAAAAAAAAAAAAAAAAAACAACTAAGAAAAAGGGAACAGAATATTTGTTAAGTGCTGTATTTCCAACAAAGTCAAATTGATGTATATCTGAGTTGTGTCCATCTTTAAACTGGACAAATTCAGAAATCAGCTGGCTGGAACAAGTCGGAGCTCAAGTTGTTGAGAATAGATTTACTTTGGCAGTAGGGCAGAAGACTAGGTGCCAGGCTTAAGAGGTCTGGCATTCACATCTGCTGCTCCATGGGTCCCATAAGATGTTCCTAAGCAAAGTTTGAAGGGAGAGGCCACCATTCTGTTTCTGAAGCTAAAAGCTTGCTAAACCAAGTAGCTGGGGGAGGGGCCACTCTGTGGGTAGCCCCTCAATGAAAAAGGACAGCACTGATTTTAAGTGGGGTTGGAAAGCATGGAAGGACCTTGCAGACTTCCAGAAGCAAGAGTATTTGTGAATGGATTGGTATGTAACTACCATTCAGTTTTGGAGGGAGGCTGTTGTTGATGAACTGTATTTCAGACCAGCAGGATTGTCTCCTATTGGCTGGCTTTCAGAAATGTGGCTTGTGATGTAAGTAATCACTGGCTAATGGGATGGGTTTAAAACTGGTTCTGATAGCTACTTTTTTGTGTGCTAGTCCTGGGGCTTGAACTCAGGGCCTAGGTGCTGCTCCTGCGGCTTGAACTCAGGTCCTGGGCACAGTCCTTGAGTTTTTGTGCTCAAGGTTAGTGCTCTAACACTTGAGCCACTTTGGGCTTTTTCCTGTAAAATAGGAAATGAGTCATATAGATTTTCCTGCCCAGCCTGGCTTTGATCTGCTATCCTCAGATTTCAGGCTCCTGGGTAACTAAGCTTACAGGTGTGAGGTACCACCAGTACCTGGCTGGTAGCTACGTAAATTACTTTAAAAAAACATTTAAGTTTTTATACTAGAAGATAAGAACTTGAATAATTCTTACAGTTACAAGTAGGAAAACAGACATAGCAGACAAGGTGAATGAGCCATAATGTGGAAAAAGCAGCAGCTCTGTTGAATCTCAGGTATGTTTTTTCGTCCAGAGAGCAGGTCCCTCTGTTTAGGATATCTGTCACCATGTTGACCAGGGGCACTCTTCTCTGGGCTCTGTTTTAGGATCCATCGACAGTAATTTTCTCGTTTTCATTAGTATCCATGGCGTCAGATCATCACCCAATGAGTGAAGAAAGAGGGTTAGAAGCTCCTACTTCTAGCTGGGCGCCGGTGGCTCATGCCTGTAATCCTAGCTACTCAGGAGCCTGAGGTCTGAGGATCATAGTTGAAAGCCAGCCTGGGCAGGAATGTTCTTGAGACTCTTTTTTTTTTTTTGATCCGGTCGTGGGGCCTGAACTCTGGGCCTGGCCGCTGTCCCTCAGCTCTTCAGCTCAAGGCCAGCCCTTTACCACTTGAGCCACAGCGCCACTTCCGGCTTTTTTTCTTTTTTGCTTATGTGGTGCTGGGGAATCGAACCCAGGGCCTCAGGTGTGCAAGGCAAGCGCTCTACCACTGAGCCACCTTCCCAGCCCCAGTCCTTGAGACTCTTATCTCCAATAAACCACTAGAAAACCAGAAGTGGCGCTGTGGCTCAAGTGTTAGCTGCTAGCCTTGAGCAAAAGGAGCTCAGGGACAGTGCCCAGGCCCAGAGTTGAAGCCCCAGGATGGACAAAAAAAGTGAAACTTAAAGGAAGAGACAGACAGGAGGAGCAATGAGAGGAGAGGATTTCAGAGGAGGGAAGACTTCTGAAGGTAGAGGAAAGAGGGTTGCTGGATAAGTGAAAAGTCTTCATAAATCACAATTTTGGCCCAGAAACAGAGCAATCAGCACGTGGAAATGAGCAGTGTCCTTGTGTCATGTGTTCCACGAAGTATGTGCCAGAAGGCCCAGAAGAAAAGATGGAAAGTAGCCAAGTGCACAAGACACAGGGTAAGGCCGCCCAAGGGCTATGTGTGGGGTGGGCTCAGTCCTCTTCTGAGAACAGTGCAGAAGAAAGAAACTTTCATAAAATCATTGAACCAAACAGGCTCTGTTATTTCTGTATGGTTGGTGTTGTAGAAATGTACTCAATGTACTCTTTTTGTTTTGTTTTGATTTTGGTGCCAGTCCCGTGGCTTGAACTCAGGGCCTGGGCACTGTCCCTAAGTTTCTTTTTGCTCAAGGCTAGCACTCTACCACTTGAACCACAGTTCTACTTCAAGCTTCTTCTGAATAGTTTATTGGAGATAAGAGTCTCATGGACTTTTCTGCCCACACTGGCTTTGAAACATGGTCCTTAGATTTCAACCTAGTGAGTAGCTAGGATTACAGGTGTGAGCTGCCACCACCTGATTCCACAACATACTCTTAGACAATAACATTTATCAGCTGGGCGTAGATAGTTCACACCTTATAAGTCTAGCTACTCAGGAAGCTGAGATCTGAGGATCACAGTTCTAAACCAGCCCAGGTCAGAAAGTCTGTGAGATACTCATTTTCAATAAACTACCAAAAAGGCCAGAAGTGGAGCTGTGGCTCAAGTGGTAGAGGGATAGCCTTGAGCAAAAAGTTCAGGGACAGTGCACAGACCCTGAGTTCAAGCTCCAGGAAAGACAAAAAAAAAAAAAAAAAGGACATTTATCTTGTTTACTATATTGATGCACTGAGTCACACTGATCTTTTCTGAAACTTGAGAAGGGCAAATGGACCTACACTGGTAGAGAATTATGTCCTTTTGTTACACCCTTAGAAAGGTCTCTGTTAATAGACAGCAAGTCCTACTTCTTAACTGTCAGGATGAAATACTTTAGATTTCAGCTCTATTCTCCTCCTCTCCCTCCTTCCCCCAATCCCCTTCCTCCCCCTTCCTCCTTCTCCCCCCTCTTTTCCTCTTCCTCCTCCTCCTCCTCCCTCTGGTTCTTCTCTTGTCAGTTGTGAGCTTGAACTCAGAACTTGGGTGCTCTTCCTGAGTTTCTAGCCTTCTACCACTTTGAACCACAGCTCCACTTCCAGTTTTCGATTGGTTAATTGGAAATAAGAGTCTCATGGGGACTTTTCTGCCCCACCTAGCTATCAACACCAACTCTCATATCCCAGCCTCCTGAGTAGCTAGGATTACAGGTGTGAGCCGCTGGCGCCCAACTGCATCCACTCTTCTCAGTGCAATGCATATTCTTATCCCAGGCCTATGGGCATGACATTTACTACCGTAAGAGGCTCCCATACATTTTGCACACACATACACACAAAATCTTATTTAATATATGTGACAATCTTAAGAACTCAATAGGGTAGGATAACATTTCTCGGAATGTATCCCCATCTTTAGGCAACAACTTACTATATTGAGAAGTGGGGTGCAGCTATAACGCTTTCCCAAAAATGTAGAAGTGGTTTTGAAATTGAAGAATTAGTAGAGGCTGAATTTTAAATAGCTGGTTGGACCCTGGTGGCTCATACCTATAATCCTAGCTACTCAAGAGGCTGATGAGAATCAGGGTTCAAAGCCAGTTCCAACAGAAAGTCCCCATAAGACTTTTATCTCCAATTAACCACCAAAAAACCAATAGTGGAGCTATGGATCTAAGTGGTAGAGCACTAGCATTGAGTAAAAGAAGCTCAGGAATAGTGCCTAGGCCTTGAGTTCAAGCCCCAGGAACACACACACACACACACACACACACACACACACACACACACACACACACACACACACACACACACACACACACACACACACACACACACACACACACACACACACACACACACACAATTTCTCTCTCTCTCTTTTTTGGTGGTCATGGGGCCTGAACTGTTGGCCTGGGTCCCTCAGCTCAAGGCTAGCACTCTACCACTTGAGACACAGCGCCACTTCTGACTTTTTCTGCTTATGTGGTGCTGAGGAATCGAACCCAGGGCTTCATGATTGCAAGGCAAGCACTCTACCAGTGAGCCACCTTCCCAACCCAATTTCTTTTTTAAATACGTGCAAGGAAAGGCTTAGAATGTCTCAAGGATTTTTGTTACAGAAATGTGGGTGCTAATGGGTTGGTCTGCTAGTGAAGACTCAGAAGGAAGTGAAGAATGTTGTAGAGAAATCCCTTATCATCTTAGAAAGCATCTTCACAATGTTTTTATCACTGAAGCAACTGAAGTAAATGGATAGTGAAAGCTTTTTCCTTAATTTTTTTTAACACGGTAACTGGTTTCCTTATGACATTTTCACACATCTTCACCCTTAACACCCTCTCTTGTCGCCCCCTCCTCTGCTACTGGTCCCCAACACCAGTTCCACATCCTTGGAAAGTGTTTTTCAAAGTCCCTTGTTTTCAGTTCAGTAGGATTTGTGGTTTGTCTACAAGAAAGGAATGACCCTAGCATCATTCTAAATTCAAGCCTTCTTCAGTATGATATGCCCTGAAGATTTATGACTTATTTATTGATTTGTTTATTGATTTCTTCACTATTGTTGGTTATTTTCTAGATAACCCAGATGTTGAGAATGACACTACTACAAGAAAACCCAAGCGGAAAAGAAGTAAAAACAAATGAGTTTTTTTTTAACTTGGTTCTTGATGTTACTGATAAGTTTACTTTAAAATTCTAGGGTTATAATTTTCACTATTTTTATTATTATTTACAATACAGTGATGTCTCTCAAAGGTGTCTATATAAAGCATTGGGTCCTATAATCTGCCATCTAATCTGGAAAACAGGCTTTTACAAACATATTTAAGCTAGGGAACAGGTGCATTATTGTAGATAATCTTGGTGCACTCAGTGTAATTCTGTGGGCCTTAAGAAATGGAAACACAGCTGGGTGCTGGTGACTTATGCCTGTAATATTAGCTACTCAGGAGGCTGAGACCTGGAAGATCATGGTCCAAAGATAATCTGGGTAGAAAAGTCTGTGAGACTCTGTCTTTAGAAAACCAACATAAGCCGGGTGCCAGTGGCTCACACCTGTAATCCTAGCTACGCAGAGACTGAGATCTGAGGATCAAGGTTCAAAGCCAGCCCGGGCAGGAAAGTCTGGGAGACTCTTATCTCTAATAAACCAATAGAAAACTGGAAGTGGCACTGTAGCTCAAAGGGTAGAGTGCTTGCCTTGAGCTGAAGAGCACAGGAACAGCACCCAAGCCCAGAGTTGATGCCCCACGGCTGACAAATAACAACAATAACAACAACAACAAAATACCCCACAAAGCAGGCTGGAGGTGTGGCTCCAGGGGTATATACAGAGACATAGAACACAAGCCTGAATGTTAAAAATATGTCCACATATCCTATGTATCCCCCCCCTCCCGCTTCCATTTTTTGTCTGATCTTTCCCCAGGAAGGGATGGGTCCTTTTCTAGGCATCTGTATGCTCCCTTCAGCAAACAAACCACCCAATACAGATGTGTGCACAAGGGGAGATGAGGGATGGAGAGTCAGGCCATTAGAGCACTGTTGAGAAGTGTGTGTGTGTGTGTGTGTGTGTATGTGTGTGTGTGTGTGTTTACACACATGCTGGTCCGGGGGCTTGAACTCAGGTGTTTGGCAAGATTTTATTTTAATATATGAAGACCACATTATTATCAGGTTGCCAATGGACTTGACAGGCAGGCTCATGTCACTGATGAGTTTCTAGGGTGACAGTGGCACAGCCAGTCGGCTAATCTACATCCACAAGCAGTGCCAACAGCATTCAGGTGCCACTGAAAGCCCCCAAACAGGCTCCAAAGCCTGACCAATGTGCCAGGAACAGGCAGGGACAAAGTGCCTTGTGGTATTGCTCCTTCACTGACAGCCGGAGCCACACGCCTAGTGTGCAGTACTGGAGTCCTCATGAGAAATGCAGTGTCAGTCTCCATTAGTAGAGAACAGACACTCCTCAAGATTCCATGGGTGACCTGTCAGGTCAGTGAACAACCATAATTTATTTCTATAGTGCATGGCCCTAGAGTCGTCAAGCTACCAGTTGTGGTTTCTTACACAACAGACACACATCCAAGATGTGTGGACAAAAGCCCAGTGTTTTGAGTTTTGCCAGCCAAGAGGAGAGACCACATCCTTTAGGAGCTCTGCATTGCTGGCTCTAAGGATGAGCAGCCACACCAGTGGACACAGGCATCAGCATAGCCTAGTCAGGGAACCGGTTCTTCCCTGTGAGTGAAGAACCTACAAAGTCACAAGATTACTTCAGTTAATACTTGAAGTGATAGAAAGCAGATATGCCACTGGTCAAATTCCCTGGTTCTTGAAGAGCTTGGAGTATAGGCTGGCCCTTTTCTCCTTCCTTCCTTCCTTCCTTCTTTCCTTCCTTCCTTTCTTCTTTCTTATTTCCCTTCTTCCCTTCTTTCCCTTCCTTTCCTTTCTTCCCTTCTTTCCTTTCCTTCCTTCCCTTCCTTCTTCTTCCTCCTTCCCTCTCTTCCTTTCATGTCTGTCTTGGACACTGAGTTGACTCACCCCAAATGGGCACCTCACATGGGAGAGTGGCAGGGCTTCCCACCATATGGTAGGTGTTCACTTGAGCAAGTAGAATTCTAGTCACTGGTTGTTACCACATTGGATGATACTCAGACACATTCTCCACTCAGCCAGTGCCACTCAGTTAGGTGTCTAAGTCCTCCAGGTTCTTCGAGGGCTAAATTAAATATGTGTCAAAAACTATAAGAGATTATTTAATGAGAACTCCACATCCAAGTGGAATTTGTCACTCAACTCCTAACAAAGCATATTATCTAACACATAACCAGCCTGGAGATATGCCTTCTCCTAACACGTCTTAAGTTTTCATGACAACTATTTGAAAGGGGGAACATACTGATATATATGTCTGTCATTCAGCTGTCATTCAGCCTAAAGATGGAGTTCATTGTCCATTCTTTACAACATGTCAAAGGAAGAGTCTCTCCAAATCCATGACCAAAGTTAGAATTTAATTCTATTATCGACAACATTTCTGTGCTGAGTGTTAAGAATTTTGCTTGTTCCAGTGGACCAAAGGTTGAAAACAATATTCAAATACTACTGACATAGACGACTTGGAGAATTATATTAAGAGTTCTACATGATTAACTTTACTTTCTTTGGTTTGAAGGAAGGAAGAAAGGGCATAAGTGGACAAAAATAAAAAGGAGAAGGCCACAAAATACATATAAAAAAGGTAAGTAGGCAAAGCAAAGTAGTTATACCTTTGAAATTTATTAAGGGATGGCCTCATGTATGCTCTAAGGCCTGTAGTTTCCTGAGGGCCATGGTAACTTGGTAGCCACTGTTTTGGTTAGAACATAGGCTAAGATGCTGTAACAAAGATGCCTGGACACACAACAACTGTTTAAAATGGTTTATTTCTCATATATGAAATAATCCAGAAGCATACAGTACTGAGTGGATGGGGAGTTGTTACGATTCTCAGTATGTGTCTTCTTTCTTGGCTCAATTTTTTTTAAATTTAATTTAATTTTTTTTGTGAACATACTGTACAGAGGGGTTACAATTACATGGGCAGGATAATGCGTACATTTCTTATCAAGCATTGCAGCCTCCTCCTTTGTTTACCCTTCACATCCCTTCCCAGCCTCCCCCCCCCAATCCTCCCTCCTTCCCCCCTCCACCAACATTGTAAAGCTCGTTTTTGACATGACAACTTGTACTTCTCATTGTTGCAACAGGTCCACCTGTATCCTTAAACGACTTGTTTTTCCCCATCTCCTCCACAAGTTATACTGACATCAAATATAGTGAAAGCAGGGGTTATACTGTGGGGGAGGGACATACAAAGCAACAAAGACATAATCTTATAAATGCGTTAGAAACAAATGCTTGGCTCAATTTTTTTAAATTAATTACGGAAGATAGTTCAATGAATGCTAAATGAAGTAGGTAGGCTGTTTATATGTGTGAATATATGCACATGTTGTAAAAATACACAGATAAGCATACATATTTTTGAAAGCATGCATTTATATACTTATAAATCAGATCTGTACACATGTGTTTATGTATGTATGCATATATAAAGACATAGGTATGCCAAATAGAAAAATCAATGACAGTTCATCCATTGAAATATGTTTATTGGTTACCTTTGGTAATTAGAATAGAGATGATGTTCATATTTCTCTTTGTGGCTTAAGAATATAGATGTCTATTAAAAATATTACACCTGTAAACTTTTGCCATGAAAAAGTATTATTATTATTATTTGCTAGTCCTGGGGCTTGAACTCTGGGCCTGGGCACTATCCCTGAACTTCTTTTTCCTCAAGGGTAGCACTCTACCACTTAAGCCACAGTGCCACTTCTGCCTTTTTTCTGTGTATGTGGTACTGAGGGATTGAACCCAGGGCTTCATGCATGTGAGGCAAGCTCTCTACCACTGAACCACCTTCCCAGCCTGAAAAAGTATTATTTTAAAAGTACTATATGGCCCAGCATTGTGGCAACACCTACAATTCCAGCTTTTCAAGAGTCGGACATAGGAGGGTTGAGGTGCACAGGTGGCCCCAGGCAAAAGTTCAAGACTATATCTGAAAAATAAAAGCTAAAAGAGCTGGGGCAGGAGATGGCTCACATAGTAGAGTACTTGCCTGCAAGTGGGAGGCCCTGAGCCAAACCTCATCACTACTACAACAACATATCCACCCATCCCCACACAAACAGACACATAAACCCACACGGAAAACATATTCCCGGAGAAAAACCTAGGAGAACATATATATATAATATATATACGTATATATATACGTATATATATTATATATATACATATAAATATATTTTATATATATATATAATGTGTGTGTGTGTCTGAGTCCACAATTCGAACTTGGTACCTGACAATTTTACTCATTGGCACTCTACCAACTGAGCCTTGGGAGATATTTTTGGATAAATTAACTTTATTTTCTCACTTTCTGATAATGATTATATACATACTTTTCCTAAAGTCTTTTTTTTTAGTATTAGTCTAGAGAATTCTCTTCTCCTAGCCAATGAAAGCTCATTTCTCTTAATTTGTCAATTTTGAAAGAGTAAATAACCAACATTTTAGAATCTTATTAAAATGATTAATTTTTGCCAAATGATGTGTCATACATTCTTGACAATTATATGGCTGCCTGATTGGTGGATGTGTACATTATTGTTTGGAAAATAAAGTGAAACAATTGCATCCATTTTAGGAATATACATTTTCAAAATAACATTCTTTGAAGTGACTTAATATAGAATTTTCATTTAAGCTTCTGTTTATGTAGACAAATTCTGAGGCTTTTTTTCACAGTACAATGAAGCCTGGATTGTGATGTAAAAGTTGAGCCCTCTTCTATTAGTAGCAGAAGCCCAGAAGTCTGTTTGTGCTTCATTTTCTTGACTGAGAGTTTAGAGAGAAGGATCTAGCAGTAAACCTAGGGCTGTCTTTTGTTCCCACCTGTTGTTCCACCAAACTCTGTAGTTTCCTGTATCTGTTCCTAGGTAACAACACAGCTGATGGCCAGATGCCCTCCAGGAAAAGGAAAATAAACATGACAAAGTCATGTCTGGCTTTCCTTTTCTCTGAGGCTAGTAGAGAGTGTGCTAATGTATTGGGGAACCTATGTTCTTATTTGTCCACTCAGAAGCAATGGAATCAAACAAAAGTGAAGCCATTTGCAGTCTTAGATCTTATCTGCCCAAGACATAATTTCCCCCCTTTGAATTATATCTGCTTTTTTAACCTTCCAGCTTTTTCTTGTTTTGGGAAGGCCATGTGGTTAGAGCCCTCTCTAACCTATTATTGCTATTTCAAGCTAGGTATGGTGGTAGATGCTATTTAGCAAGATCTTGTTTCAAAAACCAGACACCAAACAATATTTTTTCTTTAAAACATTTTTATTGCTTGACAAGAAATGTACTTATTACTGATGTAACTGTATCTCCTCTGTATAGCATTATTACAAGAAAATAAAATTTATTTTTTATTATTTTCAGTAGTTATAGAAAGGAGTTGCTATTCACCAAAGCAGTTTGTGAATACAGTGTAGCTTGATCAATGCCACCACTTTCCAGTCCCACCCACCCCTCCCAACCCAAACTTACCATCATTCTTCTTAATTTTTAGGATATGTATTGGATTGTTTTTTCCATTTAACTAAGCAGTGTGTATACAATGCATTTTGATCTGTGTCATCCCTTCAACATTTTAACATCTCTTTGACCTACCCCTTCCCTTATTTTTTTTCAATCTTGAGGTATATACAATGAATTCTTGACTGTATTCTCCTTTCTTCATCACTTCATTCTCCTACCCTTCTCCCCTTGTTCCCCATCCTTGCAAGTACCCATTTCCTGGTATTCATTTTGCTAGGCTTTGACTTGGTCTTTCAAAGAATTATACTATTTGAGCTCTCCTTAGAGTCTATTACACACCACTTAATTCATTTGTAACTGTATACTAACCATTGTGTCTAACTACCACAAATGAGGGAAACCATGCAACTTGTGTTTCTCTGGGTCTGGCTTAATTAACTTAATATATATGTCAAATCTTTCCATTTCCTTACCCATGGTACAATATCATTCTTCCTGAAGGATAAGTAGAATTGCATTGTGTATATATACCACATTTTCTTGATCCATTCATCCACTGAGGGACATCTGAGCTGATTCCATATCTTAGCTATGGTGAATAGTGCTGCAGTGAACATGGTTGTGCTGGTGGCTTTACTGTGAACCTTGTTTGTGCTCTACTGGATAAATGCCTCAGAGTGGAATTGCTGGATCATGGGGTAGTTCTATGTTTAGTTTTTTGAGGAGCCTCCATACTGCTTTCCAGTGTGGTTAAGCAAGCTTACATTTCCACCAATCAATATTCTTTTTCTAACCTAAAGTACCTCCCATCCTAAGTCTGGACAAGCCCTTGGCTGGGCCGTGAGAAGTGGAGTAGCATGGCCTCATCATCTCTGTTGTCTCTTGGGCCTACCTCTATTTTCTATAATTGGTTTGGGCCCATGTAGGACTGGGAAGGTGGAAGTAAGGCGATGACATGGAAGGTTTGCTTGACAAGCCCGAGTGTGTGGTAACATTGGAAATGAAGGTTCTGTTTCTTCTATGACAGGCACTCATTAGTTGCATTGCAAGGAAGAGGGTTAGGTGTCAGGTACCACAGCTTGATTTCTTCTGGAAGAGGTACAGCCTTTCAGCTGGGCTCTGGTGGCTCAAACCTGTAGACCTAGCCCCACAAGAGGGTAAGAGCTGAGGATGGAGATTTTGAAGCTAGCTGGGCAAAAAAATCTCCTCTGCGCCCCCTCAATTACAGGTTCAAACAGGTCTGATGAGAAGTAAATCCAACATTATCTACCAGTCCCATAAAAGATGTAACCACACAGAGACAGAAAATCTGCAAGAAAGAACTCTGTATTCTCTGAATTGCCCAATGTTCTGGTTGGCCAGAGCTTTGGTGCCCAGCCTGCCTAGGCAGGGAAAGAACAGTGAGAATAAACCATCTGAATGTCTTCTCATTGGGCTGTGAATATAGACCACAGGGTGAGAGATACCCAGAGAGGTACTGGCTTTTCACAGTCCTGTGGCATAGTGGGTGAGAGAGGAGGGAGTTCCCTGGGGGTCCACACCTGGATAAATGACCTTCTCTTGCCTGGAGATTCCACTGTCTAGAAGGAAGAAGCCAGAGTGAGCGAAAGGTTATCTGCCTCCTACAGGACCACATCTCCACCATTTTGGTAGTTTTCCTTGGTTGTTAACATTGAAACTCCTAGTGTCTTACACAAGCTTGGCCAACTCTCCTGGACCTTTTATGTGCTCTCCTGTCATCTTACTTAAATGTCAATGATAATTGGCAAGGCTGACACTTGTCTGATCTTGGGATATGACCTCTCCACTTGTCAATATTGGTCCCAAGAGGCATTTGGTCTTGAATGGGTGAAACTTTTTCAGTAATTATCTATAGTCTGAAGACTGAAAGAAGGATGATACTGAGTAGCTCTACTTTGGGTTTGATTTTGCATGAAGATTCGGTTTATTTTGCTGGCCTGATGTGCCATTTCTAGTATTTAGGACTGGGTGATCTGAAAATAATGTTTACTCTCAGGATCTCCATCTGCCAGATGACGTCACTGAGTGGAAGTATCAAATAGGAGTAAGAAGAAACATTGCGTTGCTGCTTAGAAAATCAATACCTCTGAATCGTAATAAACATTGAGATACCCATGCACAGCCCAAACCTGCAAATGGGAAGAACGTTCTCCACTGTAGCATTTGCCAAGTCAGTCCTCAGTCACTTCTTTTGAGGGGAAGGTGGTACGTCCTGGGGATTGAACTCAGGGCCTAGGCACTCCCTGAGCTTCGTTTTGCTCAAGACTAGCACTGTGCCACTACAGTCACAGCTTCACTTACAGCTTTTTTGGTAGGTTAGTGAAGAGTCTCAGAGGCTTTTCTGCTTTAGTTGGTTTTGAACCTGATCCTCAAATCTCAGCCTCCTGAGTAGCTAGGATCAGATAAGCCACCAGCACCCAGCTGTAGTGACTTCTTGAAGCAAAAGTTTTGGAGAGTAGCCAAAAGACTTCTTTTGGTTAGTCTCTTAGATCTTAATAAGTCTATCTAAACATTTACAATAACAAAAAACATTTACAATAACATTTACTGTCACTTTGAGCACAAATGTACAAATACTTTCATCTGTGGTGATACATAGCAAATATCTCACTTGGAGAATGTAATATACCTTCCATGAATGCACAGAACTACCATTTGTTTTTCTCTACTAAAAGAGATCTACCATGCCTTCACTTGATCTTATAGTGGGTCTTAATTTTCTAGGAATGTATTAGTTTCTGTAATGAAGGTAATCATCACCTAAATCTCATATATTTATTGCTAATATTATCTGAATTCAGAGATTACAAGGGTGTGGCCAATACTAGGACTTAAGTGCTGCTTGAGATGTAAGCAAAAACTGATTTCAATTAGAATTTTCTTAATATAGAAATATGAAAGTGAAATATAAGATTAGCTATCTAGTTTTTGGTAGCTCATAATATGGATATTGGCATCTCTGGTAGCTTCAAATACAGAATATATATATATATATATATATATATATATATAGAGAGAGAGAGAGAGAGAGAGAGAGAGAGAGAGAACACATATGTTATATATAAAATGTAGTAAAATATGGTACCTCATCATATTAGATAATATTATATTGACTATATATATAGATATGGATGTATGCCTTAGATTACACACTATAGTGGTCTAGAGTAGGGGTAGAGCCTGTGTCTTCAGGCTTTCCTGCTCTATAACTGTGTAGTCTCTGGACAATCACTTGACCTCTTTTCCTTCAGTGTCCTCGTCTAAATGAGACTAACCATCCTTCTCAATTCATTCCAGTCATGATTGTATACTTCTCTCAAATGTAGTCTCAGAACCAAGGACAGCTCCCCTCCCACTCCACCTTAGTGGCTCTACAATATTGGTTGGAAGGGCAAGCTTAGCTACTTATTTTCTAAGAGTATGTTTGAAGGCCTTTCGCTTCCATGGAGTCTGATCTTCATTTCCCACTCGCAGTACAATTCTCATAATCCTAGTGTCCCCCAAGTTCTCTTCTTAATTACAGGGAAAGCTGATGTGAAGAACAGACAGCAAAAGGCAGCAGATATCTTCTTCTTGGGCCTGCCCCCTCATTATCCTTTTTCTCTTTCGAGATCAGATACAAGTACCATCCCTGGCTTTGTCTTGAGCTACTTCAGTAGGGCTTACTACCCAATGCTAAAGCACTGTCAGTCATTATGTACCACGTTATCACCTGAAAGAAAGATTCGGAAATTGTAGAAATCTGTGGAATTGAGTTTTCTTAAATACCCTTCTACCTTCCTAGGAAGGACCTCAACAAGGGAACATGGGAGCATGCATAATTTCAAAGTAAAACAGCAACAAAAATCTTATCTTTTAGGTTCATGGAAGAACAGAGTCTGTGAATACATAAACTTTCGCTCCGATTTACTTCCTGTGACATGTGGTCATCTGAAGGGGACTTTAAATAAGAATAAATTGAAACAAGGTGGGTTTCTTGGTCGTCTTCCTATCTGAAGAGATCACAGGAAGGGATGGGATTGCTCATGAGGATCACTCATTATGGAAAGGAATTGGGCCTCTCCAGAGAAAGAGATTCCCTTAAGAATTTTTTTTTTAAAAATCATTATGTAAATAATTTTAGATGACTAATCCCACATGGATGCTCATTTACCGGTACCCCCAAAACCAAAGAGAAGGTCAGGGACCCTCCTCTCCCTCTCCCACCTTCTCTCCTTCCTTCTCCCTCCTTCTCCCTTTCCCTCCCTCCCTCCCTTCCTTCCTTCCTTCCTTCCTTCCCTTCCTCCCTCCCTCCCTCCCTCCCTCCCTTCCTTCCTTCCTTCCTTCCTTCCTTCCTTCCTTCCTTCCTTCCTCCCTCCCTTCCTCCCTCTTTCCCTCTTCTTTCTCTCTGTCTCTCTCTGTCTCTGTCTCTCTCTCTGTCTCTGTCTCTTTCTCTCTCTCTCTCTGTGCTAGTCGTCAGGGTCTGGGCACTGTCCCTCAGTTCCTTGAGCCAGACCACCACTTCTGGCTTTTCTGTATGTAGTAGTGAGGAATGCAACCTAGGGTTTTGTGCTTGCTAGAATCACTCTACTACTAAGCCACATTCCCAGTCCAGTCAGGGACATTAATCCACTCATGGGAAGTATTGTTTTACTTTGAGCCAATCATAAGTGGGAAGAGGTCCTAGCTACTACCTGTAGCTTCTGTTCTGGGACATGGACACCAGGGCAGGTTCTTAACATAGTAAGAAGATCATGCGTTAAATCAGAAAACTTGACTTCCAGCTAGTTCTGCCAAGAGTGACTTTCATTCTCAATTCCAAGGCTTTTTTTTTTGGTGCTTAATTGGACATACAAATCTCACTTACTTTCCTGCTGAGGCTAGCCTCATATCTGAGCCTCCTAAGTAGCTAGGATTACAGGCCTGTGCCACCAGTGCCCAACTTCTAGGCCTTTTCACATATGCAATTCACATCTAAAAAAGGACAATAATTCAAAATCAGACTCATTGTATAGCATGAAGACTAATTTACATAATTGATATAACACATTTTGTGATTGTAGATTCTAAAGTTTTGTTAAAAAGATCTTTTGTGGTGTACTTGACTTTGGATCTCTCTTACTATGGGCCTTTGGATGCCAATGAATATAAATGTTTGATCATGATTATTGCTATTGTTATTGTTATTTTTGGTTTGTTTTTTTTTTTGGTGCCGGTCCTGGGGTTTGAACCCAGGGCCTGGGCCCTGTCCCTGAGCTCATTTTGTTCAAGATTAGCACCCTATCAGTTGAACCACAACTCCATTTCTGGCTTTTTTGATGAGTAACTGATAATAAGAGTCTCATGGACTTCCTACCTGGGCTGGCTTCAAACTGCAGTCCTCAGATCTCAGCTTTCTAGGATTACAGGCATGAGTCACCAACATCCAGCCATGATTTTTTTTTTTTTTTTTTTTTTTTTTGTCGGTCGTGGGGCTTGAACTCTGGGCCTGAGCGCTGTCCCTCAGCTCTTCAGCTCAAGGCGAGTGCTCTACCACTTGAGCTACAGCGCCACTTCCGGTTTTCTGTTGGTTTATTGGAGATAGGAGTCTCACGGTCTCTCCTGCCCGGGCTGGCTTTGAACCGCGATCCTCAGATCTCAGCCTCCTGAGTAGCTAGGATTACAGGCGTGAGCCACCAGCGCCCGGCAAGCCATGATTATTTTTTAAAACAGTTTTACTGAGATAAAATTTGTACAATGTAGAGTGTACAAATCAGTGGGATGTTCTTTTGGTATGGTCCCAAAATTGCATAGCCATCCCCAAATTTTAAAATTAGTACATTTTGTTGTCTCCTCATGACCAAATTAACAGTCTGTGCTCACCCACTACTCAGCCTTGATTTCTACTCTACAAACTTTCCTATTCTAAGCATTTTATATTAATAAAATGTTATAATGCGTCGATCATAATTGACTTCTTTCATTTGCTTTATGTTTCCAAGGCTTATGCATGTAGCAGCATGCTTTTTACTACCCAATAGTATCAAACTATTACATATATTTTGTTACCAAATAATGTAATAATCCATTGCACGGAAATATCACATTGTGTTTATTCATGCATCAATTCCCACTTTTTCACTATATATAATGCTGTTTTGAATATTCATGTACAAGATTTTTGTGAATGTATGCTTACAATTCTTTGGGGGTACATACATAAGAATGGAATTGCTAGGTAATTCTGGTATCCAGAGTTCTATGGTAATTCTACATTTAACTTATTAAGGAATCACCCAAGTGTTCAAAACAAACCAAAACAAAACAGTAGCTGCACCAGCAATGCATAAGGCCTCCAATTTCTTTACATTGACAGTTATTTTCTGTCCTTTTAAATTTTTTAATTACTGTTATTATCATTGAAGGTATGACATAATATCTCACTGTGGTTTTATTTTGTATTTCTCTAGTAATTAAAATGTTGGCTATATGACTATCTATGTGTGTATGTGTGCCAGTACAGGGGCTTGAACTTAGGGCCTAGGTGCTTTACTTTAGCTTTTTCTACTCAAGGCTGGAGTTCTGCCACTTGAGCTCTCTCCACTTCTAGTTTTTACTGATTAATAGGAGATGAGTCTCACAGATTTTCCTGCTTTTGATGGCTTCAAACTGTGATCCACATTCCCCTGAGTAACTAGGATTACAGGTGGGAGCTACTAGTTCCTGACTTAAAGGGAAAAAAAGCCCTCTACAATTTATATTTTGTAATAGTTGTGGGTGACCTTCTGAGTTACAGAATATCCGCTGAGATCTCAACCTCACTTGAGAAGTCTGCCTTCCCTCCATGTTGCCCCAGGGCCCTTAATTCTGTGGACTAGTCTCTGTCCCCTGAATTAAATCACAAATTGAAATCCATTCATCCTCTGGATCTACTTGCTTTTCCTTCGGTTCTGAAATGTGTTTTACAGGGTTGCTTTGAACAGTTGTAACTTTCTTCATGTATGAAAAAGATTAGAGAAATCTGCATATTTCAGGAGTCTTTCAGATTGAGTTTGAGACACCTAAAGTCTGGGAGGGGAGGCCTGACTCTTCCGCTGTTGACCTTGAACTTCATTTGGGGATTTGGGCTCTAGGTCCAGGGTAGTAGAAGACCACAGTTCTGACTCCAAATCAGCTTACCTTGCTCTTTCAGGAGGAGCCTTAGCGAAGTGCATACTGAGCGAGGATGGAAACTGGTTTACCCCCATTGAATTTGAAGCCAAAGGAGGCCATGCAAGATCCAAGAACTGGAAGATAAGTGTGCACTGTGGCCGGTGGTCTCTCCTGAAGCTGATGGAGGTATCCATACCCAGCACCTGCCCCACCCCTTCTTGTAGTACCCTAGTCAGAAGGCCACTCTTCGTCTATAGTAGCTGAAGCCTTGAAGCCAGTGAGAAGGGAGAGGCCCAATTCATAACCAGAGTGCACAGCTGTAAAAAGATAGATGCAGGGCCTTGAGGGAAAGAATGGCCATTCTGATGTGATTGCATGCAGAGAACTCCATGTACTGAAACAAAGACTCCACAGTCAAACAAATGGAAGGAGCCACTTCAGAGAAAGGAAGGCATGAAAAGCAGAGCCATCGCTGAAGTAGCTCTGTGGACTTAGATTCTATTTGACCCCATACAATCAGTCTACCTATCAGTTGAAGTTGTCTGTGGAGGGCTTTGAAGGCAGGTTAATTAGTTCAATTTCAAGTTCTAGACAAGGACTCAGTGAAAACTTCTGAATTTGGAAATGACATGTAAACATGTAAAAAAAACACTGTTTTTTTTTAAATTTGATTTTTAATGCCAAGGGGTCAAACCCAAAGCCTTACACATGCTGTATATGTATGCACTCTATATCTAGCTCCCTAAAACCTTATTTTGGACAGCCATGTGGCTTTGAAATGACATCACTACCAGTTCACTATACTCAATATAGAATGCTTACCTTAAATATGCCTCTGACTTGTTGTCCTAGACCTTCCTCATCTCTCCTAGTCCATGGCTGAGACCCTTCCTGTACCCCTTGAGAGTTCCCTTTCCTGGACTGGAGGTGTGGCTCAAGTGATAGAATGCCAGCATATGAACAAAATCATCAGATACTGAGTTTGAGTCCTGGTCTCAGATGAGAGAGAGGGGAGAGAGAGAGAGAGAGAGAGAGAGAGAGAGGAAGAAGGAGAGAGAAAGAGATCCCCTTCCATGAGATATCTTCCCTATCCCCCTCTTGATTTGTTACCTTTGCATGCCCCAAATCGATCTGAGTATCTGACACACAGTAGGTGTGCAATAAATGAATGTGTGTTGGACATGGAAGTCAAGTATGAATGACAGTACAGAGAAGGAGAAAGAGGTAAGTGATATAGAACGTTGTGAAGGGAAACCTGTCAGGTCTTAGGAAAGAAGCACCAAAAGGGAATGGTTCTAAAGATGACTCTTCCACCTATCCTTGGTTGAAGGAAGTCTTGAAGCAGGTAAGGTGGGATGACATCTCATTTTGACATCATGGAGTTGAACTGGAAGTGAAATATACAGACAGAAATATTTGGGAATAGGTTGAGAAATGCCAGATCCACACAATGGAAACAGATTAACCATTTAATGGGATTTTTTAATCTTTCAGAAAGGATTTCTACCTCGTCCTCCAAGAACATATCCCAAGAGGACAAGAACATATCCCAAGAGGAAAAAGGTGGTTATTGCATAACTTTCTACAAGTTCTCTTCATGTACAATATTTTATTATATGGGTAATCACAGTTGCCTTCTACCTCCTCCACTTCTTTACCTTTATTTTTCTTTATTATTATTGTTGTTATTATTATTTTGGCATGTGCCTTCAGGGCTGTTTCTTTGAACATTATGGTGTATACAAAGCTAGGTCCTCTTTAAATGCTGATTCATGTGAAATGGACAGTGATAAGGAACCATCAAAACAAACCCCATCCATATTTTTAAGTGAAGGATGTAGCTGTGTTTTGGGTAGCAAAGTCGGAAAAGTGAATGTAATTATGAAGTGCATAAAAATACCCTATAGTAAGGTGAGAGTGTCCATTTCCACTCAAGTCTAGATTGTTCAAGATGACTTTACTATCTGTTTTTTACTTTAATGGGATCTGATGGAATCCAAGTTTTCCCACAGTCGTTCAGCTGATTCTAGAACTATAGACAACTTCTTGTGGAATGAAACCACCTATCATTTTACAAGCTAGACCACCAGAGCCGAGTTCTTCTCTGCTTCCTTATATTGTCCCCCACCTTGCACTGAGATGGTCACCCCAATAACAGCGTACCTTCCCAAGGGAAGATTACTTGCCCTTGGTGAGATAGTGCTGTTGAGGACAGAGGCCTTCAAAAGCATGTCCAGTGAAGAACGGACCTGGAACGGTTTCTACTTTGGCTCCAGCAGAGGGTCTGTGTAGATGGACTTCCTTTGATCTGTGAGAGTGATTTCTCTCTCTAAGGAAGAAAGCAACAAATAAATAGAGTGTTGAATCAGGTAAGAGTGTTTCCAAGACTGGGTATGCATGATACCCAGAGAGAGAAGTGTCATTCTTATCATCTACAGGTAGCAATGACCATCTAAGACAGTCACAGACATCTGTCACTGTCCCTGGGCTTCATATTCCTGTGAGGATTTCAGATTCAGGCCTCCACATTATTGGTGATTTGCATTATAATCTGGCAGGTTTGAGCGCTCAGCCACTGGGAAGGAAGTTATTGTTTGACTCTTCAGTGAGTATGTTAAAGACAAGTTGATCTGTCTTCCCCCTGGTATCAAGAATAACAGTGCAAGATGGGCACTTGTGGCCCACATCTGTAATCCTAGCTACTCTGGAGGCTGAGATCTGAGGGTCATCATTCCAAGCCAGCCCAGGCATGAAAGTCTGTGAGACTCTTAGCTCCAATCAACTACTCAGAATAGGTCAGAAGTGGTGCTCTGGCTCAAGTGGTAGAAAATTAGCCTTGAACCAAAGAGATTAAGGGACAGCACCCAGACCCTGAGTTCAAGCTCTAGGACCAGTGCACGCACGCACGCGCGCGCGCGCGTGCGCACACACACACACAAATAACAGTGTAGATTATCCAAATGAGCTGGAAATTTCCAACCAACAGGATCTATCCTTATTGATGGGGCAACTTTACAGCAACAAGATGCTGTTGTATTCTGTGTGTCTATTGGCCAAAACATAATTTCCCTAGAATGGCAGAACCCAAAATACATTTCTATCTCTTTAGATCCTTAGTGCCTCACAGAGCTTCTCGCTCTTTTTTCTTTTTTCATTATCCTTATATAGTCAGAACTTCTCTTTGAGAGTGTCTGGCTTCTGTCACTGTCCATACCACATGATAATATTCCAGCTTATGACAAGACCCCTTAAACTTTGAAGGAATCTAATACAGAATAATCTTTTCTTGTGTATGCTATTCTTTATCTAAGAGACTCCAATCATCCTCTTCCGAAGTGCAAAAACATACACCTATTCATTTATTTATCGTATAATTATACCAATTACATACTGAATGTTTTATGGCTGTTAGAGAAATTTACATGCTTACAATTTCATGTTACATATTTACAAATTCATGCATATGATATCATTGCAAACATAAAAGAATACTAATGGAAGGTGGTGGAAAATTCTAGATGAGTCAGTGGTGGGCAGTGACATGGCCACTTCTCAGGCAATTGTCCCCTGGAGTACAATTGTGCATAGCCACTCTGCCCTAGCTAAAGAGGCTAATTGTGTCTCAGAAGGGAAGAGTGCCAGGTTATTCTACTCTGTGTCCCAATATAATCCGCTTGTGTTTCCTCTGCAAGTCAGCTGGTCTGGCAGCTTGAGATGTAGATAGCAGGGAAAGGAAGGTGAGTGTTGGGAAGAAGAGCTAAAACACTGGATATTTGCATTTAATCTTTAGGATCTTATCCCTAGGAGAGATACAGTGGTGGTAGGGTTCCTCTGTAGGTGCTGGGAGCTCTAATTGATGCCTCCTCAGGCTGGTTCTCATTACAGCTCCTTTGGGTGAGCTGACATATCATGGGTGGCCAACCATTTTGAAGGAAAAAGGCTGAAGGCCTTTAATAAATGAACACAGCTCAGCCTGTAGAAAGCAGTTCTGGGTCTAAAAGCCAGAGAGGGAAACTTACTTTGGGTTCTTGTTCTCCTGGTAGAGACCATAGGTTCATAAAAACAAGTTTTTTTTTTTTTTTCCAAGAAAAGGTATATTGATTTAAGAGGAAAAACTTTATATGAAATAAAATGAACATATATTTGAGTAAAGAAGGATTCATTAACAGGGCAGGACTCTCAGGAAGAATTCCTAGGCTCCACTGCAGCTGGGTGAGCCCGGAATTTCTAATGTGCTTAGGCTGAATTAAGACTAAGGAAACACACTTGATTGGCCAGAGGGGAAAGATGCTAGTTAGAATTAACTGGTGGCTATTTATGGTTAACGTCTAGTTTCATTTTACTGCTTGTATTGGGCCCCAGTTGCCCAATGACTTCCCAATAATTAGTGTGTGTGTGTGTGTGTGTGTGTGTGTGCGTGTGCGTGTCCGTGTGCGTGCGCGCGCACGCGCGTATTCCAGTCCTTGAACTCAAGGGTTAGGTGTTGTTCCTGAGCTTCTTTTCTCAAGGCTAGCACTCTACCACTTGAACCACAGCTGCACTTCTGACTTCTTAGTAGTTAATTTGGAGATAAGAGTCTCACAGGCTTTCCTCTCTGGGTTGGCTTTCAACTGTGATGCTCAGATCTTGGCCCCCTGAGTAGCTAGGATTATAGGCCTGAAACTGGCACCCTAAAGAAAACATTTTTTTTAAACAATTATTATTTACAGCCCTCAGAAGATAACCGTAGCAGTAAGTGATTTTTTCAACCATCACATTCAATAGTTTCATTTAGCCTTTTCATTTCCAGCGGAGAACAAAGATGAATCACAACAAAACCCAAACTGACCCTGATGTAAGTACACCTCAAAAACTCAGGCCTTTCCCATGTGTCTTACCTGCATCCTGGCTGCTTTTCATTGGTTATGGGCTCATTCTCAGTTGGAGAGCTTTGCTGCATGTGCTGAGCAGGGCAAACAGCGGTGTCCTCTAAGCCATGTGCGTGGATCTGGGCTTGGGTGTCTCTGCCGGAAGTGACTTTCCTGTGTTTCCCTAAAACTCTTTCCCTGTCCTCATCTCCCTCAAAGGCGGGTGAGGCAGGGATTTAGACCACTGATATCTTTGGAGATGGAGGTTGAAGCAGGAACAGGAAGGGCTGGCTGCAGAGGAGTGGGGCAGGGGAACATGTTTGAGAGGAGAAAGGCCTTTTAAAGTGGTCAGTGGACTAAAAAGGGAACTCCCTAAATCCCTCCCAGTTACAGGCCGACCTCAGTATGGTCTTGAGCATCAGCCCAAAGGCACAGGATGGTGAGTTCAGGCACAGCTCTGTCCTTGATCCTGCAGGAAATGCATGCAGAACAACAGGTGGGCTCTTCATGGACCCTCTGTGACGAGTCTCAAGGGGGTCATCTGGGGACCGAGCTGTTTAAGACAGAAACCATGACTGCTTAGCAAACCACAGAGCCTCTTCCTCCAGCCGCTTGGCTGATACTTGATAAGATGCAAGGGGTTTGGATTCCTCAGGCCTACCCATCCCCTGCTTGTTATATGGCTGCTTGCTTTGGGCTCTTCCAAAAATGATGATTTCCTTCTCTAAGCAAAATCGCACCCTGATTTCTTTCATGGCAGTGAGGTGGATGTTTTGGTCAGAGTGAGCTTGTGAGAATGGCTGTCATGTAGAGTAGCGTGCAGTGTGATACTCGCAGGTGCTACCCAGAAGAGGAGTAAGGGTTGAGTAGTTTCACACCCACTGCCAAAGCAAGCTCCAACAAGATTTATATCTTGCCCACACCATTTTTTGTGGGTTTTTTTTCACTCTTCTGAGGGGGCCTTTGGTAGTCATCAAGTCTTGGCATCCAGTGTTTATGTGGCTTGTGGGGGATGGTGTAGACACAGGCAGAGTTTCTAGGGAAGAGATGGCAACTTTCCAGTGAAGGCATCTCTTCCATGTTAATAATCTTCTTTCAGACAGACATTTAGGCCAATGACAATGATATCTAATATCTCTGTGTCTCAGTTGCCAGACTTCGCTCAGGCTAAGCTTCAACCTGGGATGCTTGCTGGAATCACCCACAGTGCTTTGAAAAATATTTTTGCTTGGATCCCAGCCCTAGAGGTAATTCTGATATAATTGGTCAGGGCTAAGAGTTGACATTTATGACTTAAAAAAAAAGACCCCAGATGATTCTGATGTTGAGAATGACCTGTTCCATGCTTATAGAATACCAATTCCTCATGATGCTAATGACCCACTAATTAAAGTCTCTGGTGTTGGAACCAGGACATGAGTCATTTATATGCCCTCCACAAATAGTTCCAGGCTAAGAAACTCAAAGCCTTGTGCTCTAGTTGAGTTTTTTTTTATTTTTTTGCTCAAGACTGGTACTCTACCACTTGACCTCCACTTGTATATTTTGGTGGTTAATTGGAAATAAGAGTCTCATAGGCTTTTCTGCCCACGCTGGCTTCAGAGAGTTTCGTCCTCCTGAGTAGCTAAGATTACAGGTGTGAACCACCAGAACTTGGCTAAGAATCACTTCCCCTCCGTTAAAGAGACTAGGGACTCAAGCCTCAAGACTCATTTCTTCCTTTGGTCATTTCCTTGTTCTTGTGGGGACAGAAGTTACTGCTTTTGAGACAGTGATGATAAAGTCTCTTGCACTGATGAGAAGAAAAGGGATCGAAAGGTCCCATTCCAGCCTCAGCTCCAAATGGGAATGGACCTAAGCATCCCCCATGGAACTGACAGGAAGCTTTGGGTGAGAATTTTCTTGGGGCCCAGGGCGTAGCCATACAAGGCCATTTTCATTTATTTATTTATTACCTATTGATTATTTTTATTTTGAGGGGTACAGGGGATTGAACCCTCTACTACCGAGTTATTTCCCTAGTCCACTGATATTTTAAAAAGCAAAACAAATTTACCTAACAAAAGTATTTTTACCCAGAAGCCCCAAGCAAATCTCAAAATTATTATTAATATTAGTCTTTTCAAATCTTTGATAATTTTCCACATCCCTAAAAATAACATAGATATATTCCAAATTATTTTAGTCCACTGGCATGTTTCTGACTTTTGTCACTCACATGGATAGAATATAGAGCTTTTGCCTGTGGGGGACAGGCCTCCCTTTACTCTGTCCATGAAGTGGGTCCCAGTAGGGTTTCCTCTCCAACTGTATTCAGTGGGCATTACAGGAACAGAAAAGATACTGAAAGAAGCTTAAAAATGAGTGTCCAGCATCTCAGGGTTGGTCTGGATTTGGGAGATGAGAGAGAAGGCAGAAGCAGGATGGATTCTCAGGTTTGTGGTGGGCGGAGGATGCTTCATTAAATAGAAATACTAGCGAAAGAACATGGCCGAGGGTGGGGTGGAACAGGAGGAGAAGCCAAAACGCTCCAGGATCATTGGCGTTAGGCTGTGGAGCCCCGGAGGAGATGGTGGACAGAAATGTGCATGGACACCTGGGAGCTGAAGACCCAAATGGGTAACTGCAAGGTGACTTTGACCATAGCCAGAGATAGAAGCTCAAGGAATTCTATCCTTTTGTTGTTTAATTAAAAGTTAAAAGAATAGCCAGAAAGGAAAGTAGAGCGGTGAGGCTCTTAGAGTGAGCCCAAAAGAATGGTGCCACAGGCCAGGAGTCTTTTATCCTTTGGCATTAGTGGTAGTTGAACTCAGGGCCTTAAGCATGCCAGGCGAACATTCTACCATATGAGCCACCCCTCTAGCCCTCTTGTGCATCGCTTATTTTCAAGGTAGAGTCTTGCTTTGTGTACAAGCCATACTGGGCTGGGCTACTACTACTTGTGCTTCCCAGTATCCCTGGAGATGACAGGGCGCACGCCACCACATCCAGTCCTTGGTTCAGACTTTGGCCTTTTTCTGTAATCCTCCAATCTCTAGCTCCCAAGCAACCAGGATTATAGACTTGAGCCACAGCTCCCAGGCATCTTTTGAACAGGTCAAAATGGTCCATCCTAGAGAAGAGCTGACCCTATCATCCTTGCCTCTACTCACTTTTCAATGGCTTCCTTCTCTTCTATCCACCATTCATCAGTGGATGGGCCAATCTCCATATCTTTCTCATATTTGTCTCTATCCATGTATGGAGGAGAAGAAATTTTTCTGTGTGGAAGTAGACCTCTCTTTTCTCAAACTGTCTCCACTCTTTCCCAGAAGGTGGGCCCAGGAAAACACTTGTGACTGCATATATGTCAGTCACTCAGATACTTCCTGATTCATGATTCATGTTATTGCTGATTATCATGGAGGAAATAATGCCAACCACTCCCTGAGGGAAGTTTTGGCTGACTGATTTGAATAAATCTGTGGCTGGCAGGGAACTGAAACCAGCTACTTGAAGATAAGCAGAAGTTACATATGGTCCTTTGAGACGTTTAGCCAAGAGGGAAACTTAGAGATAGGTCATTTAGTCCCTCCCAACTTTGTTTTTATGACAGTCCTCTCTCTCTAGCCTAGCCTCCTCAATGCTAGGCGTGGGCTACCATTCTACTTAGGCTCTCCGAGTTCTACCAGATTTCCAGGCAGCATGTAATATGGAGCTCTGGCTTTAATCTTTTTTTTTTTTTTTTTGTCGGTCATGGAACTTGAACTCTGGGCTTAGATGTTCACCCTCAGCTCTTCAGCTCAAGGCTAGTGCTCTACCACATGAGCCATAGCACCACTTCTCATTTTCTGGTGGTTTATTGGAGAGGAGAGTCTCACAGACTTTCCTGCCCGCGCTGGCTTCAAACCTCGATCCTCAGATCTCAGTCTCCTGAGTTGCTAGGATTACAGGTGTGTGCCACTGGCACCTGGCTCTGACTTTAATCTTTATGTAACTGGGGTTCCACTCCCCAGTTTGGTTTAGCCAGTCTCCCTCAATATACCAAGAGACAAGAATGATGAAGGGCAGCAGCAGATTTATCACATGTTGCAGGCCTGGCATGGGAAGAAGTAAGGTAAGCACTTCGGTCCACCTTCAGGGTGCAGACATGAGCTTTAGGTTTTAATAGAGGAAGAATTTGGGGGAAGGGGACAAAAGATAGGAATACTTATTAGACCCTCCTGGCCAAAGCTGCAGTGTGTTCCCCATATCTCAAGGCTGGTCAGGTATGACCATTGCCTGGGGTAGTTTTGACTCTTGTCAAAAATGTTTATCCGTCAGCCCTGACCTTCCTGGATTTCAAGGTGGATGGATGCCAGGTCATTGCAGGAGAGGATGGCTCACAGCAAAGGCAGATGTAAAATGGAGAATAGAGGCTAGTTGTTTTTTTTAATGCACATACTGAGGCTTGAACTCAGGGCCTTATGATCTTAGTTTTTTCTCTGAAGACTAGTACTCTTAACACTCAAGCCACACCTCTACTTCTGGTTCTTTTTTGGCTAGTTGGGGATCCGTCTCTCAAATTTATTTGTCCAGGCTGGCTTTGAAATGCAATCCTCAGAGCCCTGCCTCCTGAGTAGTTAGATTACAGCTATACCCCATGGGTGCATGCTGGGGCTAGCCTTTTGTCCTGTTTTTAGTGATCCTGGGGGCATTTGCAGTCCCATGTGGGGAATCAAATTATTTTTGTTTAAGGCTCTAAGTATTTGCTGTATAGTAGACTCTTTCCTTCAGGCATCTGGTTCCAAGACCACCACTGTGGAAAAGCTATGAATGCTCGGGATGCGTAGAGACCAGTGCCATATTGCAAACACTTGATTTGTGTTCCCTATAAGCTTGCCCACCTTCTGCTAAATACAAGCCTCCTTTCAACACATCTCAAATGTTTGCATTTTCTCCTTTATCACTCACATTCACTTTGGCTTTGGGGATGCCATTTGCTTTTGGGGAAGCAGACTTTTTAAAACTTAAGGGCAAGAAATGATCATACAATAATTTAAACACAAGTGATGATAATGTGGGCCTGACTGAGTGCTTCTCCAAATCACCTGAGCTTAATGAATACACTCAGAGATTTAAATATTTTGTTTTGATGTACTTATTTTGTTTTTTGTTTATACCACATGCTTGATGGAAATCATGTGTAGTAAATCTACAATCTAGCTTACTGTATTGATGCCACTTTTCTCTAGGACAGTAGCAGGTCAATCACATTAGTTCTTCACTTGAAAATGTAGGTAATTTGTATACTGTACAGTGGGCATATATTGGTTTATTTATTTGCTTTATAAATACTATTGTATTTTTGTCTGTTTTTTTTTGGGGGGGGCGGTCAGTCCTGGGCATTGAACTCAGGGCCTAGGTGCTGTCCTTGAGCTTCTGCTCAAGGCTAGTACTCTACTACTTGAACCACAGCTCCATTTCCAGCTTTTTTTTGGTAATTTGTTGGAGATAAGAGTCTCACAGACTTTCCTGCCCAGGCTGGCTTTTGAACCATGATCCTCAGATCTCAGCCTCCTGAGTAGGTAGGATTACAGGTATGAGCCACAGATGCCCGGCAATACTGTTGGTTTTTAATGAATGAGTTAATCCATAACAAGTGTATGCAAATACTGTCAAATTATAACTGCTCCAATGAAAATTAAATTTGAATAAGATCCCACATATTATGACTGTTGAAATACTTAATATCTGTTGATTTGGGTGAATGTGCTCATTCTTTTTATGGGCCAAAGCCCCAACTCCTTTATGACTCCAAAAGGTAAGGGTAGGATCTTGGGTGATTGTCATGATCACATTTCTAGGACATTGGAGATGGTACTTCCCCCACTCATATGTTGATTTTTCTGGCATGGGGGACCTGTCAGGTTTGAGAGCTAGGGTTCTGAATGTCCTAGCACCACCAGGGCCTAGCACCCACGGTAGCCATAGACCCCTCTCCCAAAGCCTAGGGCTCTCCTAGCACAGATCACATAGTCCAAAAAACCAAGTTTTCCTCCCTCTAAATCCTATTCATGGTGAGTTTATGGCTAAGACTGTGGGATGCAGTACACTCTAACTAGTTTACTCCATCAGATGAAATTCTCAGTAAAGCATACTTTGGCGAGTCAGATTCATCCTTGTTGAATAGGCAAATAGATTTATCACTTTATTTCAGGAGTTCATTTTTGCTGCAAGATAACATTCAGATTCTGAGAAAAATAATCTTGTTCTGTTGATAGTCTCTCTGTGTTTGAATCTAGGCTTTTAAAAATGGTTTTATTTTCCTTTTGTTTTCTATTTTCTATTTGAATCTCCTTGGTAGTATGAGAGGGTTTGAATCCCTGGTTTTATTTGGAATACTGTTCTCATGTGACACAGGGCTCCTTTCTCCCACACTTCCTGCCTGCTCTGTGATATGGTGGCCTTTTGGGTCTACCGCATCTCGGTGCTGTGGTTGTTTTTCCTTCTAGCTGAGGAACTCAGATGAATGTGAAGTGTGTCGCAAAAGGGGAACACTGTTCTGCTGTGATACTTGTTCCAGAGCCTTCCACAAGGACTGTCACATTCCACCAGTAGAAGCTGAGATGTGAGTGAGATGGGCTCCTTCCTCCTCCCAGCGACGCTTCCTTGCGCACGTGCACTGAGTGAGATCCAGGGGTTTGGAACAAGTGACAAGCAGCTCTTTGTGACGTCCTTAGAGTTAGTTAGCTTTCTAGAACTGCTATCTATGAGTGGATCCCCTAGAAGATGAGTCTGAGGTGAAGTCTACAGGCCCCATGGTCTATTGTGATATGTCCTCGGGCACAGGGAGAAAGGGAGGCCACAGATTTGGGGGAAATCACTCCTCTGTACTTCCTCTGGGAGGTCGAGGTTAGTGAGTAGGACCCTTTGCCTGATTACGATGACTTACCACCAAAAGTACTCCTCTTGTTCATGGGACTGGGGACAGGAAAGGCCAATTGGCTTTGTTCTTATTCAGGAAAGGAAGACACAAGACTGGCTTCCACAGTCCACCAGGTCTCAATGGGCCTCATGGAGGCCCAACATCCCTGGCGTTCAAAGCCAGTTTCCTACTCTCAGGTCTGGCAGGCTGGCTCGCTGTGCTCTGAGTATGCAAAGAGAGCTCCCCACTCACCTTGCCACCAAGCACTGACCCTGCGCTGCTGCCACTGATGAGGGGAGCCCACTGCCCTGGACCCTGTGTGGAAGGCTTACATGCGGCTCAGCCCACTGGCCAGCAGCAGCTAGGAAAAGTGGCTATTTACAGTGCCTGGCTCTCTGTTCACCTTCTATTTGACCTCTCAGGACCCCTTGGAGCTGTATCTTCTGCAGGATGGAGGCCATCGACAGCCAACAGACTCACTCTGAACCTGAGATCCTAGACAGGCAGATGTGGCCCGAGGAACAGCTGGTGAGTCACCACGATCCTCCAGGCATCCTCTTTTCTCTTCTGCCACACACAGGTCTGAAGTCATGAGAAAGACACTCTGAAGGAGCCAAGCCACACCTCCCTCAGGCAGATGGCATACTAAAACCTCTTTGTAGGCTGGGCACCAGTGGCTCATGCCTGTAATCCTAGCTACTCAGGAGGCTGAGATCTGAGGATTGTGGTTCAAAGCCAGCCCAGGCAAAGAAAGTCCATGAGACTTTTATCTCCAACTAACCACCAGAAAACCGGGAGTGGTGCTGTGGCTCAAGTGGTAGAATGCTAGCCTTGAGCTGAAGAGCTGAGAGTCAGCACCCAGGCCCAAAGTTTAAGTCCCACAACCGACAAAAAACAAGCAAAAACCTCTTTGTAGAAAAATAACTCAAGCTAACTCAGCTCTGTGTGGTAAACCACACCGTTTGGGGAAGCTTCTGGAAGGCATGCATATGGACTTCTCCTTTCTAAGCTGCATTTCATTGACAGCCTTCTTCTCTTGCAGAAATGCGAGTTCGTCCTCTTGAAGGTCTATTGCTGTTCTGAGAGCACTTTTTTTGCCAAGATCCCGTATTATTATTACGTAAGTAAAACAGCGACTGCCCTGCCTGAGGTCACGTGACTGAAATGAGTGCTTGTGCAATCTGTGCGCTTCATCCCCTGGAGTAGAGCACAAGATCTGTTGTCTTTCCCTATGGGATTTTTATGGGAATCCACAGAAGATAAACCCTAGTTATGCCAGTAGCTTTCCCATTGTTGGTTTCTTTGTCATCAGATTAGGGACACATCTACAAGTCAGAAAAAACCCATGTGGTTGGACAGAATCAAGAAAACGCTGAATGTACGGGGTTACCCCCAAGTGCAGGGATTTGTACAAGACATGCGCCTCATCTTTCAGAACCACAGGGCCTCATACAAGGTAAGTGGTTCTCCTTGTACTTCCTTTTCCTTCCACTGGGTCACTCCATGCCTCATTTTCTGGTACCTGGAACACTTGGAGTTTCCAGCATCTTTCTATAGCAAAGTACTGGAAGTGAGTGATTTATTTCTTTCAGTTTCAGATATAAGTAATAGTGAGCTCAAAGGTGACTCTGCACCTTCAAAGCTCACAGAGAAAGTGCCCATCCTTGGTTTGTCCCTCCCTCCCTTCCTGCTTGCCTGCCTGCCTTCTGCTAGTCCTGAGGCTTGAACTCAGTGCCTGAACACTATCCCTAAGCTTTTTTGCTCAAGGCTAACACTCTATACCACTTGAGTCACAGATCCACTTCTAGCTTTTTGCTAGTTATCTGGAGATAAGAGGCTTGGAGAAATTCCTGCCCAGGCTGGCTTCCAGCTGTGATCCTTGGATCTCAGCTTCCTGAGTAGATTACAGGCCTGAGCCACTAGTGTCTGTCTCTCCACACTTAGTCTTAAAGTATTTTTTGCTGCTTGTTTTCCATCAGTGAAAATTCTCAAAAATCCCAGGATCTAGATTTCTTTACATGTGAATAGACATGTAGTTCACAGGGATGTCTGAGAGGAACAGAAGCCACAAGAAGGAAGAGGTCGCTAACCCCTTCTCATCCTCCTGTCCTTTTATCTGAATTAGTATGATGAACTACTAGTTTCTAACTCCCACTGAAATAAATAATCAAAGTCCCATAGGCAGGGACCTCAAGTTTGGCAGTGAGTCTACATTTTTGTCATTAGAAAGGAATAACCAGGCTTGTAGCATACCAAAGGTACTCTTAACTGTGTTTTTAACTTTTAACTTGGCTAGTGTGATTTAGCACGAGAAACCTGGGCATCTTCAATGGCCATTGGCTGATGACACTGACGAGAGCATCATCATATTTGACTCCATTATGTTTTTGTGTTTTTTCTTCCTCCAGGACTATGATTTTGGCCAAATGGGACTTAGACTGGAGTCTGAATTTGAGAAAACTTTCAAAGAAGTGTTTGCTATTGAGGAAGCAAACGAGAACTGTGGACTCCTGTAAACAGGCTGCTCAGCACACCAGCACTGTCTCCTTTTCTGGTGTCTTCATACTGCAGTCATAGCGTTGTCTGCTCGCTCCACGGGCCCCAGAGGGTGTTCCTGGATCCCACGGAACCAGATCCAGGCTGAGTTTTTCCTCCCGTCCTGGAGACCCAATCTGGACCCAAGGATGGGATCAGATGCTGCTTCTGTGCTTCCCCTGGGATCAGGCTGGAGCCAGCCCCCAGCCAGCGTAGCTTCTTCTAGTCTAGTGTATGGCTTTCATAGCCCCTCTTCTCCCGAGAGCATTCCACAATAAACGATCTATCTATCTAACTGATAGAGCTTTATCTTCAATTCTGCTTCTACAGGACTCATAATGCTCTTGAGTGTAAACTCCAAGGATAGGATTCTGCAGTTGAGGCATGTTCCAGCCAATTGGTAATGGATGAAATAGTAGTAGTTCTTGGTATGCTGTAAAAATGCAGTTGCCCCAATTTTCACCTGAAAAATAAAAAAAAAAAAAAACAGATGAGCTATAGATGGAGAGGTGTACTGGGTGGTAGATGGGTTGGGCATTTAAAAGGGAGGAAAAGAGTCTATAAGAACTGTGAGGTCAGCATTTAGCTATTGCTAAGTGATACTAATGTACTGATAAGAGATGATTTGAGTCTGTTAATCACTAGCCTAAAGGAGAAAGACCCTCACACATGCAGCTGGAAGGCAAATTACATGGAAGGCCTGTTCCAGGCTCTGATTTTAGGAATAGCAGAACTCTAGAGAAGACTGCATTCTATGGGTTGCACACCTGTGGCTCATACCTGTAACACTAGCTACTCAGGAGGCTGACATGTGAGGATCAGGATTGAAAGCCAGCCTGGTGGGGCTTTCTACTGCTGATAGCTGCAGGATTCACCAGCAGGGCTCAGCAGGCACTTGAGGACCAAGTCTGGGAGTGGACTCCGGGTCAAGAAAGGGGAAATAAGACATTGGATTAGGAAGAGAACTGTCAGTACAGGGGCACTCTTCGCTACACAGTTTACTCAGCTAGGCAAAGACCCATGCTGGGGATTCTGACATGCTCCTGGGTGGCCTCACTGGCTCAGTGTAGCTGCTGTGCACATTAAGTGAGGTGGGATTGAAGATGCAGGAACTGTGGTCATAGGCACCCAGGGAAGTTGGCATGTTCCAATAGCTTTGCTTGGGGTGACAGTGCTCCTTGGGGGTCACTGAGACATGAGTGGAAGGAGCACACTGCTATGTGGACACTAGTGTCCTGATTGTATAGGTGGGGTAAGGGAAGGACTCTCCTGTGTAGGTAGGGTAATGGGAGGAAGGCTTTACAGAACTGGCTTGTGTAATAGCAAGGAGAAAAAATGATTCCAGGACACTATAATCCAGATGGCAGCAAATTTAACTTGTCAGAGCAAGGTGGGGAGGGAATCCCAGTCTGTAGGTGTCTATGCAGATGGCTGATGGGACACAGTGTTCCAGCAGGCCAGACAGATGGGCTTCATCAAAAGGATGAATGAAGCCGGGCGCCAGTGGCTCATGCCTGTAATCCTAGCTACTCAGGAGGCTGAGATCTGAGGATCATGGTTCAAAGCCAGCCCGGGCAAGAAAGTCCGTGAGACTCTTATCTCCAATAAACCACTAGAAAACTGGAAGTAGCGCTGTAGCTCAAGTGGTAGAGCGCTAGCCTTGAGCTGAAGAGCGCAGGGACAGCATTCAAGCCCAGAGTTCAAGCCCCACGACCGACCAAAAAAAAAAAAAAGGATGAATGAAAATGAATTAATGGAAATGAATGGGCAGAAGGCTGAAGTCAGTACTCCAATGGAAAGAGCTTCTCTGCCTGCTTTCCAGAACCCACCAATGGGAATGAGAGCCAATTCTCACGAGGAAGGACTTTGCAAATATACGTAGCCTGACTCCCTCAGGGATCTATAGCCATTTCTTCAAATAACCACATGCCAGCTAAAGATCTTGTGGGTGCTGTTGAAGACAGTGTCTGACCTGGCTCTAATGCTTGAGACCCTAAGTGCCATCAATGTCCCAGTTAGAGCAGATCGTGTAGTGAAAGTGCAGAGAAAGTCCATCTCACAGTGAGTCCTTGGATCCAGAGCCATTTCCCCGATTCCTGGGAAATGACAGAGGTTTGAGTCACCTACAGAGATTGAAGGAGGCAAGGATGGTTTTTCCTATTATCCCACCATTTTGTTCAGCAGCCTGGCCTCTGCAAAAGCCAGGCCACGCATAACTATTGGCTAACACTAGAAACTTAACCGAGACTTCAAAAAATTCTCCTCCAGGAAGCAGGACAAGTTTGTCTGCAACAGCAGCAGTGTGTATATGGCCTTGCCATCGGGCCAAGGGAATTCCTTGCCTCCAGTACAGCCGACGGGGATACACGGCGTGCAGTCCATTGCATTGCTCCACTGTATTGATGACAATATTATTATTGGGTGATGAGCAGGAAGTGCTGAGTATTCTGAAAGCCTTGTTATATCACGAGCATTCTGAGTGGTGAGACAAACCTTATGCAAGTGCATGTCCATATAGGTATGTATTCAGGAGTTCCATAGTTGGAGACACGCTATGATCTCCTCTTCAAAGTTCCAAGCTATTGTACCATGTTTCTCCTACCAGTAAGAAAGCATAGTGCTTTGATGGATATGATAGGCAATTTGCTCTGTGTCTGTGTGCCGCACACACGCACATGCACGTGAGACTTGAATTCAGGGCCTTGTACATTTGCTCAGCTTTTCTGATAATGGCTGGTATTCTACCAGTTGAGTCATACCCCCAGTCAAACATTTTGCTAGTCAATTGAAAATAAGAGTCTCGCCGGACACAGGTGGCTTACAGGTGGCCTGTAATCCTAGCTACTCAGGAGGCTGAGATCTGAGGATTGCAGTTCAAAGCCAAGCCTAGTCAGGAAAGTCCATGAAACGTTAATCTCCAATAAACCACCAGAAAATCGGAAGTGGTGCTGTGGCTCAAGTGGTAGAGTGCTAGCCTTGAGCTGAAGAGCTGAGGGACAGCGCCCAGGCCCAGAGTTCAAGTCCCACGACTGAAAAAAAAAAAAAGTCTCTTGGACTTTTTTGTCTGGGCTGCTTTCAAATTGGGACCGTCAGATCTCAGCTTCATGAGTAGCGAGGATAGTAGATGAGAGTCACTGGGCCTGGCTTCATGGTTGACAACTTGGTGAAAATGATCCTAAGCTTTGTACTATTTGTGTTTGGGAGTAGAGAAAGTAGCAGGTATCTTAATCGAATGTGCTACCCATATTTTCACCTAACAAGACATAAAGGATATTGTCACATGCTGCTAGATCATCTGTGTCATGCTCATGCTTTTCATCCGGCTTGAACCGCATTTGGCTTGTTTTAGTCAGGAATGGCGTTTTGCTGAGAGGCAGGACAGGCAGTGATGTGGGAGCAAGCCCTTGGCTTAGAAAGAGTCTCCACTTGCTAGGTGTTTTTTAATCTATTTTGTTTGTTGTTTTTTTTTCCTGTGGGCATCTATTTTTAATATATTTAAAATTGTTTTATTTTCTTTGTGTGCTGGTACTGGGGGCTTGCTTGAACTTAGGGCCTAGGCACTGTTCCTGAGCTGTTTTTCTCGAGGCTGGTGCTCTACTACTTGAGCTACAGCTCCACTTCTAGCTTTTTGGTGGTTATTAGAGATAAGAGTCTCACAGACTTTCCTGCCCAAGCTGGCAGGAAAGAACCTCAATCCTTAGGTCTCAGCCTCCTGAGTACCCAGGATTACAGGTGTGAGCTACTGAATGCCCATACATTTTTAAGTTTTTAAAATTATCTTTAAGTAGTTACACAAAGAGTTTCAATTCAACCTGTCGGTTTATAAGTACAATGCATCTCAATGCCATCCCTTCCGTCATTCCCCCCATCTCTCCTACCCACCCTGCCCGCCGTCCCCTCAAGTTACCTGGTTCCATTTTCACAAACATACATTGAATGTAATGGCTGTGTTCATCCACCTTTCCTCTCTCCATTCATCTGCCTCCCTCCTCTGCCCCCTTCACCTCTCCCCTCCTGACCACCCCAGTTTCAGCTTCCTGGTACTCATTGTATGTCAGTTGCTCAAAGGCACATGGACAAGTTTGTCCTTGAACAAGTTACTTCTTTATCCCCTGCATTAGGTTGGCAAGAGATCCTATAATGGAGATCCTAATATATGTGGCTCACTAAAGTATTTGCTCTTAGAAAGTATCTGGTTCAGGCCAAGCGCTGGTGGCTCATGCCTGTAATCGTAGCTACGTAAGAGGCTGAGAGCTGAGGATCATGGTTCAAAGTCAGCCCAGGCAGGAAAGTCTGTGAGACTCTTATCTCCAATTAATCACCAGAAAACTAAGTAGTACTGTGGCTCAAGCAGTAGAGCACTTGCCTTGAGCTGAAGGAGCTGAGGGACAGTGCCCAGGCCCAGAGTTCAAGCCCCAGGACCCCAAAACAAAAACATAAATAATCACAAAGGAGCCATCGAACTCAGAAGATGAATGCAAATATCTTGCATTCTGGACATCAAGAAAGACCTAATTTGTCTAGGTTAGCCCAAAAAGAACTTCACAGGTAGGATCCACAGAAGCTCAGCCAGAAGCCTGAGGTGCTGAACTACAAAGAGTCTGAGCCCAAAGAAGAAATCAGAGCAGCTCCACGAGATTGGTATTTAACTTTCCACAACCCTTCACTCCAGCATCCAATTCCCACAAGAGAGTTTGGCAGGCTGGGATTGCTCAGCAGTCCAGTGTTTTTGCCCTCAAAGGGGTAGCCAAAGAAAACTCATCTGAATGATGCAGCTGACCCAGGCAGTGCCAGGAGTGGACCAGTATAGCCCAGCCAGGGATGGGGTTCCGTCCAGACCAGTCAAGAGGGATGCAGAGTGGCGGGCTGAGCTGCGTCAGTGTGCTGGAGAGGGATGATCACATTCCATTGTTCTGTGCTGTAGAGGCAAAGGCTGTTCATAAAGGAATATGCCTGCTGTACCAGGTGTGCTGCCCGGGTGGGCCAGGCCTCAGGGCACTTTGGAGCCATTGGTGTCTTGGGTAGCAATTTGGGGACTGCCAGGTCCACTGCTGAGCCATCAGAACTGGAGATTGAGGAGGAACTCCTGACCAGCAGGCCTTCCTAGAGCAAATGCCAGGCATGTTGGACACGATTCAAAACCCAGCTGCCAGAGGCCCCTGCAAGGTAAGCCACACCCTGCATCCTTTGAAGAGAAGGCAGAACTCAGGAAGCAGAATCAACTTCTGATTTCCTGGCCCTGTGAATGGCCAGTCTTGCTCAGAGTAGCCTAAACCTTTGCTAAAAAGGCTTTCT